TCTCTAATTTTTGTAATTATGTCAAATGTGTCTTGTTGTGTGCCTTTCTGGCCTAAAATATTTTCTTTAAAAAGAGTTAACGGTCCCTTTGGATTGGCCCCAAACATTAGCTCAAATGGAGAGTACCCAGTTGTGTCTTGTATACTCTCTCTATAGGCGAATAAAACCATGGGTATATATAGGTGCCATTCTCTAGGGTGGTCTATTGTTGTTTTGTTTAACATAGTTTTTAGTGTCTTGTTCCATCTTTCTACCATACCATTGGCCTGTGGTCTATATATTGTGGAATGCACTTGTATTATACCTAGCATTTTTGTAACTGCATTGGTTAAGTTGGAAGTAAACTGTGTTCCATTATCTGACAATATTTTATCAGGGAACCCATGTCTTGTAAATACATCCAATAATGCCATGCAAATTGTTTCTGAATTAATGTTTTTGAGGGGAATTGCCTCTGGCCATCTAGATGCCATATCAATCATGGTTAAAATAAATTTGTGTCCCTTATTTGATGGTGGATTAAGACATCCCACTTCTGACACCATTTGTAACACACCTACTCTGACATGGCGTGGGAGCTTATTTCTTATGCTGTGGGTTATGTCAGTAGTATGGTTACTTATGTTATGTTGATATTTCAGGATGCCGACTAAGACTTCTTCATTCTTCCACTTATAATCCGGGCACGCAAATAAGAATACTGAATCCTGGTTAAACTTACAGTACTTTATTGAACACACTTTATATTGATAATATTAATAAATAATCCTTGCATGAATGTAAATACTACATCTCAACTCTAACTCAACTCCGACTAACTCTGACTCCTTATCTCAGTCAACTCATACTTTATTATCAGCAAAGCGTGGAAAACAACCGCTCTGACAAAAACATAATTTTACTCTCCAAAAGCGTGGAGTTCACTTTTGCATCTCAAAATACATGGTCAACACAATTCACTGTTCACTCATGCTACCTCTCTGTTTTCATGTGAAACATAGTCCGTTACACCGGGTATTCGCTAGTATCAACTAAAAACGCAAATTTAAATAATGTTGAGGTTTAAAAAAAAAGTTTTTTTTTGCATTTACATAATTGTGTGTTCTTCAAGCGAAACATATGACGAGTGAAGTTATATTTTTAAATCCGTTGTACTAACTTTGCTTTTATCGTGACTTGGTGTCTTGCTGGCAATTTATTCGAACAGATAATGACCCACTACCCGTAAACCTATGGAGCTGATACTTGGCACATATGCTCGTTGACAATGACCAACATGTTATTAAATTTTCAGACCAACTGCAAACCCAAAAATCAGTTTTATCAATGAGAAGATAAGGAAATAAATACGATGACACTGATTTCACAAAATAAAATTTTCGATAACTGCGCTAAATAAGATTCTTAAAAAAAATATCGCATTTAAGTTTGGTGCGTAGTTTTTTCTTTTGTTTTTTTGAAATAATTTATGAAATATTACTGCAGTGTTAAAATGGGTTGGTCATTACAATATTGATATGGTTCAGGGGTCTGAAAAAAATGTGCGGTTGCGAACCTGAATTTTTTGTCAAATTTTCAGCCCCTCTCCAAAGGCTCGATATTACATTTTAAACTAAAACCTTCTTTTTAAGAGTTGTTTAATTTATTTCAATTTTTATATTATAAAGATCTAGAATATGAAAGTTAGGAGTAGGAAATGTGATATCCTAAGTGTACTTGAGAAGGGAATGACTAAAGCTTGCCCATTGATATTTTCGTTAAAACCATCTTAATGTTTTGTTTTTTTTAAAACTCAAGGCTGTTACAGATATGAAAAAAGGTTAAGAGAGTTAACGTAATTCCAAGAATGATATGAAATGTGCTATTTACAACCCAACATGATCCAATGAGATGGAATGAGTTTGTTATACCATTTTATTTGGCTCAAGGGACATTGCGTTAGAAATTGGTGAATAACTTTTTTTTTTTTTTTGATTGAGACATCTAAGAAAAGTTAGATTTCTTTTTTAAACCCTGCTTAATCTTTAAATAAACATTGTACATGTTTAATGAACTTCCGTTGCTTAGATGTAACTGGGGGGGGGGGAGAGGGGAATCATCACATTATTACACATCTGGCATAATGTGTTTTTGCGGACTGAGGGTTTCTTGTATAAAATGTTTTTCCCACCTTAATGTATGTGTTTTAAAAGAATAATCACAAGTTTAAGATTTAACCCCAATAGCATTTTGGGACAACATGGGTTGTTGCATTTATAAGAGGACAGCAATACATCATTTGTACCACGAGGAAATTTCAGTCACTATTAGTTAGAATATTATTGTTTAATTAAATTATTTTAATTTTTTTCTTTTATTATAAGCTTCTGAAATACAGTACAAAATAAGTTGATGTATCTTTTTTTTTTTTTTGTTAATTGGCATCCGATAACAATTAGTTAGAATATTATTGTTTAATTAAATTATTTTAATTTTTTTCTTTTATTATAAGCTTCTGAAATACAGTACAAAATAAGTTGATGTATCTTTTTTTTTTTTTTGTTAAATGGCATCCGATAACAGTGCTAAATGAAAGAATAGGATTTAACAATTTAAAAAGAAATCCAATACATTTATTTCATAGAAAAGCATGTTTAAAAAACATATTATAATTGAATCACAAGAATTTCTATCCTAAATATTTACCCTTTATATCATCTTTTAAAGTAATGTGAATATCATTATTTTATACAGGAGAGTAAACAACCTGAATTTCGGTGTCTATGCTTGCATGAATTATTTTTCTTATATATGTAACCTTAGATTTCATAATAATTTCCTTAAAATCTTGTAAATTTAAATTATAAAAAAAAAATTGAATGATCTTCCCAAAACAAGAATTATATTGTTAGTATTAATTATTTAATCAATGAGCGTAATTACAGAGCAGTGAACCAATTTATTGATATGAAAAATATTTAAATATTATTCTTTAAGATCAATAATTGTTTTGTTTTTGTGTATAATATTTTAAAAAAATTATTAAAAGAGACAGAATGAATTAAACTGTTAGTATTATGATAGAAATACAGTAGTACATTGATCATTAAAAAATTATTATAATTGAAATATTTTTTTTTGAAAATGAAAATTAGATTAAACACATAAAAACCTAATGTCTATTTGGAACTATTTTTACATATTTCAAACCTTAAATCTTAAATTTTTGTCTCCTGAAACTTCTCCTCAAATGAATTTTTTTTCAAAATAAAATCAGATTACCTGAATGATTATTATATTTGAATAAATATTTACAACAAATAAACTCTAAATAAAGATATATAATAGAAATAACAGTTAAACAAAAGATAAAAATGTATAAATTCAAATAAGCTGTCTGAAATATACAAAAGATTTTAAACAAATTAAATATCTTTACATTTTTAGTATTGAGATATCTTAGATAACAATTTTTCAATGGGGAACATGCTCACTATAAAATCAATAAGATGTGGAATAATTGGTTCTGAGTTTTTGTTTTTCTCAATAACATATCTCCTCAGTAACTCTTCAATTTTCCTGTTGGTTTCCGAAAAATAATTTTCCTTTGACATTTGAAATACGCTCTCAAGTGTGTCTATTTCTTTTTCAATCTTTTGTATTGCGGTCTTATTTTTAGTGTCTTGGTCATCAGCCTGATACTTTCGACTTTCATACCTCACTCTCTCAAAATGTGTTCTTTTCTTCTTCAATAAGTCTCTGTAATCAATAGCGTTTGATATCTCATTTTGTTTAGCTTGCAAGGCCTCACGCATATGTGTAATTAGAGACAAAGTTGTTTCTAGCTTTTCATTCTTTACGAAAGCTTCTCTAACAAAACTCTCTAAAACTTCAATTTCTTGACTTACCTTCAACAACATGTCAGAACCTTTTTCATTATCTGTTGCATTTTTTATTTTGGAAATTATCCTACCGATTTTGTCGATGACATCTTGCTTCTCTTGTTCATTACTTAAGCTTGATAGTAGTCCGGATCGTAGATTTTCCACTCGTTCAAAATCTGTGTTTTTGTAACGTTTCCCGTTTGTTGAAAAACTTTCTATAACTTCAACTAGTTTTCTTACTTGGGCTGATTTTTTTTCTGAATCTTTTGTCCTATTGTCGAAGAGTATTATTCTGTTCTGAAATTCATCTAAGAACTTTAGAAAGTGTGAGTTACGTTGTTTTTTTAACCAATCCTCAAATGAAAGATTTTGCTCTCTCACAGTCGGCTCTGTCACAAAACTGTCACCGTAAGTCATGACAAGAATGCCATGATCTTTTATGAAATTTTCACCCAGAAGTGCTTTTAAAGTGAAAACATTCTTTTCATCTACCTTGGTAAATCTATTAACAAACTTAAAAACATAAATTATGGCGTGATATCCTTTAGGATTATTGGCGATAGCAATATTTATTGCATCTGCGAACTGCTGAACATCATCCTTAACTCCTAATCTGGTAACTCCGAGTCCGGGACAGTCAACAACCTTTATGTCTTTACCCTCAAAATGGCAACAGTCATAGTGTGCGTTCATTGTTAATGACCCTACATCACTTGAAGTAGGAAAAACTTGTCTTCCCAGAATGGTGTTTCCCGTTTCACTAATTCCATCACCAGTTTTTCCAATCAAAAGTAAGTCTAAAGAGTCGTTTTTGAGCACTGAAATAATTAAGATATAAACATAGATTTAAAAAAAAGACAAAACATAAAATTCTTTATTTAATAATAATTTAGATAAGGCAATCATTGCCTTTGTCTGAAAATGTATCTTGACAAAATGCACTTTAATTTTAACAATGTCTTGCTTTAAAAAAAAAATCAGATATCTTTCTTTTTAATTCATATACATTTTTAAAAATAAATGAATTCTTCAATTTTTTTTTAAAATTACCACATAATTTAGGCCCATTTTTCTAGGCTAAATCTTCAGAATACAAAAAATATTTCACAATTTTTAAGCTTACACATTTGTTTCCGACCAAAAAAAAATCACATTTAGTCTTCATACATTCTTCTTACCTTTTTTTTTTTACAAAGGTTATGGATCACTTAACTAAATTACATAAATCCTTGTTAACTAAAATATATTATTTATTTGTTTTATTAATTTATATTGAGTTATTCAATAAACCCATTGGACTGAAAAAAATATCTACAATTATCTTTAAATTAGGTCATTAATACTCTTTGCAATCCTTTGCAACGTCACAGAAAAAAAAAATGTCTTAAAAGTAATTTAAATTCTATCATTTTTGAAGTGATGTAAATATTTTTAAAATACATACTTAAAATACGTTTCTATTAAGCCTTTAAACGTTTCAAATAAAATAGATGCTAAGTACTTTTTTAAAAATTTAATGTGGGCAATCTCATTTTACTACTTTTTTGTTAAAAAAACAACAACATTGTAACATACGCATGTAAATCTTTGACCCTAACAAAAACGGCAAAACACCTATTAAACATATGGGAGAGAAAAGTTATCAGGAAAATATATTGACCAGCAAAGCATGAATTTGGATGGAGACTACGAACCATCCAGGAATTGCACAGATTACATCAGGGTCCTACGCAGTATCAGAAATAAATAAAGGGTAACGGAAAACACCAATTGTTACATTTTTTTGTGTGCATAAATTTCATTATATTAAGAAAAATAAAATAAAAGTATTCAAAGTGGATTTTGATTGTCTCAACAACAAAAAAAATATACCAAGTCAAGGTTTTTTTATTTTTCCGAAAAATGATTAAGATCCAATACACGGTATTCACTTTCAAATATTTATCTCTTTAAAGGGAAAACCTCCTGAATAAATAAGTAGAAAAACTAATTATTTAAGTAGACTGTATAATAATTAAAGAGGACATACCACTTGTAGATGGTGATTCCAATGAAGAATATTTATCCTGATCTCTATTTCTGAAAAATCACATCATGATCATGTTCAAATCTTTTAATATACGAATTCTTTATTTCAAAATATTCAATTCAATTTAATGTAAATGTGTTTTGATAAATATGGACGTACTCAAAGTTTTTTTTAGATCCATAATTAAGTTTTAAAATATTGAATACTGTGTCTATAAAAAATATTATGAATCAGAGCCTCACTCCAGGCTATACTTGCCACACAAGATAACGGCCAAGAACATATACAAAGATTATATGATGAATTCATGTCCATATTTAAAATTGCCATAAACAAATAAGATAAGATAAGATTCTTTTATTGATCAAAACAAATGGAAATGGTTTTTTATTGCATTGTATATTTCAGCCCATAAAAAGAACAATTTAAACAGAAAACATTTATAATAAAGGATTCGCTAGCAAAACAAAAACAGAACCAGCCATTACATGAGTTCTCTTAGCCATATCAGGGACTTATTAGTTCTCATTTCTATTTTTGACTTCAGGGGGAGCACGCTGGTAAAATGGTACAGATTAAGGAACAAAAGAATTGGTATATCTGTCAGTCCTCGCCCTGACGGATAGAATTCGCCCCGAACGGCCCGATCCTAAGTATCTGTGATGAAGAGAGTGTGATGTATCATCCAAAATGTGTTTAGTTTTAAAATAGCATATTTCTTCAAATTGTTTTTCAATTGAAGGATGATTAGTTTGTGTTATGTTTTTAGCTTTTTTGATTAGTCGGTTTATGCGGTGTTTAATATCAGACTGGTCACAATAATAGAGTCATTTCACAAAAACATGCACATCACAGAAACTTTCAATGGCACTGTCTCTGAGTCATTCCCAGTTAGCAGCGAAGTAAAACAGGGTTGTGTACTAGCACCAACGCTATTTTCAATTTTCTTTTCGATGCTCCTTCAATTTGCTTTCAGTGACTGTGAAAATGGAGTGTACGTCCATACAAGATCTGATGGAAGATTGTTCAATGTCACCAGCCTTCATGCAAAGACCAAAGTAAAAACGGTGCTGATTCGTGAACTGCTGTTCGTTGACGATGTCGCCGTAACATCTCACACAGAAGAAGGTCTGCAGGGGCTGGATAATTGTCTATCACACGCTTGTACAGAGTTTGGACTTTCGATTAGTCTACAGAAAACTCATGTAATGATGCAAGAAGCACCGTCCCCTCCAATCATATCTATTGAGGGTCATAATCTTTCGGTTGTTAATCATTTCATATACCCGGGATCCGATATTTCTAGTTCTCTCTCCGTTGATGAAGGGATAAATATCAGGATTGCAAAAGCAGCAGCAACTATGGCTAAACTCAATAAGTGGGTGTGAAATAATCTCAATCTAACTGATAAACCAGAAGTAAGTGTCTATCAGGCATTTGCACTTAGCATGCTCCAATATCGTAGTGAAATGTGGACCACATATACCAACCAGGAGCGGAAACTCAACAGCTTTCATCAAAGATGTCTGCGTCGCATTTTGCGCATTCGTTGGCAGGACAGGGTGCCTAACGTGGAGGTTTTGGAAGGTGCACACATGTTTAGCATATTCTCGTTTCTAATCAAGAGGCGCCTTCGCTGGTTAGGTCATGTACGGCGATGGAGGAAGTACGTATCCCAAAGATACTGCTGTATGGAGAGTTGGCAGAAGGGACAAGACCGCCCCTGAGATTTATTGACGTTTGTAAACGAAGCATGAGGGAAGCCAATATTGAAATAAACGAATGGGATTTTATTGCCGAAGATCGCTCCAACTTGCGAACAGCAGTGTTTGAAGGAGTAAAAAGGGCACAAGATACTCGAAACGAGGCCATTGAATCAAAAAGAACAATTCGAAAATCAAGAATTTACCGGGATTCAAAATTCTCCTGAGAGAGGTGCGGTCGTGATTGCCATTCAAGGATTGGCCTAGTGAGCCACTCGTCAAAGTGTAGAACTATAAAGCTACTGCATTGTCTCGCGAAGACGGAAGGATGCCATATAATATGAGACGTTGAATTCCCACACCAGTAAGTGATACTGAAATTAAGTAGGCTTCCAATTGTTGCACTGCAGAACAAGTTAACCACTTGATTGTTTACTCCGAAATTGTACAGTTTTTGTTTGATGTAGTTGAGTTTTTGATTGAATTTCTCATACAGTATTTTTTCGTGCTCATGTCATGTTAGCTTATTATTAATGGTGAACCATATTTTTAAAAAAAACATACATATTTCAAATTAGTTCAAAAATATAGCAGTATTATCAAAAAATATTGGAATTATTATTTTTTTTAACACCAACACCTTTGAAGACTTGTAAAAAATTGAAATTTTTACAAATGGAAATTTTGCCTTACATCTCGTAAGAAAAGAAATACATTTGAGATATATATGTAGACATGGGATTGCTTGTCTAAATTGCATTAATTACAAACTTGCTGATCCCTGCAAAAAACTTAGCAAGCTATTAATTAAAATCAGTCACAAGCGGATGAGATCCGGAAAACTAAGAGAAGGAAAACTTTGCACTCCATCCCAAATATGGCATTTCGTAGAAGGTAGTTCAATTAAAATTGGGTCAACTCCTGCAATGCTGCTGGTGCCTATCTGTCTTAATCATACTTGGTTACCCCAAATGCGTGCAAGGTAGGGGGTGCATTTTAGATTGAAAATAAAAAATATAACTGATATGATTCCCATTATATGTTTGTTTAGATTTAACGCTAAATTTAATAGAGATACATTTAGAAGTGGCATTAGACATTTAAAAAGTGTAGTAGTCTGTTCGCGTCTTAGTTCGTAGAGAATAAATTACGGGCTTTAGGAATCATAAACATTGTTGAAATTTTTACTTAAAATATTATTTGTTACAATAAAAGGATGTATGTAAAAATTATCTTTCAGAAATGCGCTAATTAGAATCAAATTATGCATTTAAAAAAAATTTTAAACAGCATGTCAAATATAATAAAATACCTTAATAAATTAAATACGAGATGTTTCATTATATTACCTTTGCATCTCTCCGGGCCAAAGATCTATTGTCTGTGGTTGTGGACTTTTATCTTAAAATATATAATAGTTAAGTTAATTTTTTTTAGATGTAAAAGTTTCAATAAGTTACTAATATATGTATTTATTTAAAATGATTTTTGTGAGCAGTATGATAATCCTTTATACGTTCAGTACTAAATAGTATGTTTTTTAAATCAGATCATGAAAAAAATCAATAAAATACAAATGATTTTATTTAAATTTACTATATATAAAACAACTTAAAAAAAAAAGCTTTGGACAATACATAATTTTAGTGATAAATTAATATTTTTTACAGTTCATCCGAGCTTTAAATATATTATATTTTATTAAATCGAAAAGGAATGGTAATTATATTTAAATTTTGAATATACAATATAGGATGGTATCAGGCGAATTGCATGAACAATATAACTATTCAAAACTTTACAGTCTTACATTTGCCAGTGGCTTAATACAGTTAAAAGTAATTATTGGTTTAACGGCAATTTCTAATCACGATAGACGCATGAATTGTGACTCCAAATAGGCTTTTATTTTTTAATTAAATACAGTAAAATTCTAAAAGGGGCAGAAAGAAGTGACAATTTTTTTCAAGAATACTATGGCTGATTATCGTCTTTGGGTAATCTTAGAGAAATTTAACCAAGTATATAGCCTGGTTACCGTCACGATCATATGAAGTGAAATAGTTCTGCTATGGCAGGTCGTATTGTTTGTGATTTATGCGAGTGGACGAACGATAGTATTTTATGCTTTTGTTATTTTCCTTCAAGCAAGATTTTAACTCACGCATCTGTGACAGGAGGTTTCTTGAAAAAAAAAGCACGCGGGGGAAAATTTCTCAGTTCATTTTTGTGAGAGAATGTGAGCATTTGTTGTTTATTGTTGGTGTAGGAGTCAGTTAGCATTTTTGTATAGAGAATTATTATATTTTTAATAGAAGTGCTGTTGCTATTTTTTGTGTGACAGATTGTGTAGGATTTCATTCTGAACAGCATTGATTATTTTCTTATGCATTTTCTACTGTTGTTTATACGTAGTAAGTAAATAAATAAACCAGCACCTTTACAATGTTTTTTGTTATTTGATACATGGCTACTTTATACATTCTTCTTACTAATTTATTGAAAATCGACAATGTAATAGATATATGTTGATATTATTTTTAACATAAGAACTTTCTTGAAAATACTTTTTTTATTTATAGTTTTTTTACAGCTTTCGATTTCGACCAAATGAAAACTTAATAAAATCATTTTAAAATGAGTTCCAGTTTACAGTAGACTTAAAATGTTTTTGTTTAGGTGGGCTTAAAATCAATAGAAAAATACTTTGATGTGTTTAGGCGGTGTTTCCAACGATATGAATCATTTCAGACATTATTTTGCGCCGTTCGATATTAAGTCTTGAGACAGAACATGAATTTTCAAAACCAAACGTGTATTAGTTCGTGGAGGGCTATGTCAGGACAATTAACTTTGTAACCAATGTTATTATTTTTCCATTTATTTCATTGTTAAAAATGTTAAATTTTCACTCACTCAAAGTTGAAACGTGCGGCTTATTTCTCAAATAGAAATTGAATCTTCCTTTCGTTATTAAACAGACTTGTATACAACTCTTCCATTTTGAGGCAAGGAAGAGGGGCTGTACAGGAAATTAAACCTTCATACATGGTCAGGAGAAGTGCGGGGGAAATAAAGGTTTGTAACTCTGGGTTTTGGGCTACGTTTAAGTATACGGATATTTTAGATTGCTATGGGTTTTAAATAAAAATATTATGTTCTGAGTGGGAGGCTGTGGTTAAGTTAGTCGTATCATTAAAGGAAATCGTAAAGAGTTCAATTGGTCTTGGTGCAGGTAATTTTAAGGAGTAGGGCAATAGTCATACCAATTTTAGGTAATTAATCAATCATTGATCCCAAAAGGGTGCTCAGCTCTCACTGCTGGCACAGACAATTTGTGGCATTTACAACCGTCGCTAAAACCAGGTTAAGGGATGCCGAGGAACTACAAGTCTTTGGTAAAATGACTTGTCCCCGAGTAGGATGAAAATCCAGTGGATTGCACACAGAAACCGCTAGTAGTTCAAGGGGCAAAAAGATAGAATTAGCAATGCGAAGTGAACTGCTCAGAGCATATCAAGACGCGTAGAACACAATGGGCAATTTAACATCGAACTCCATCAACAAAAGAACATATTTTTGTTTTGCTGCTGGATCCAGTTGTCACTGGGCAAGAGAGTGAGTTGGATGACAAGCGCAACGCTTGATTACTTAAATCTACATCACATCGCTAATCATTTTACTTATCAGTCATTCCTTTCCCATTTTCACAACCTATAAAGTGTATAGAGATTGGCAGGCGGTGAAGCTGCAGGTTTTGGTATACTGTAGTAACAAACCAGCGCTTAGATGGGACAGGACTTACGGCTGTCCAACGCTAAAAAGGAGCAGCAATTAGGTCCACCAAGCTAAACTATCAACTATCCCTGGCTTTCAGGTGAGGGACAACTTTGCGAAAGATACTCAGGATATATTCCTTTTTTTTTGGAGTGTCCGAGGAAGCCTAAAACGTAGTGAGAATGATGTGATTTCACTATATAAATCATAACATACTTTTGTGCTGTCTGGACTCACAATGGGTGTCAACGATGGAATAATATGAAAATTAAAATACCCCTCTCATGTGGAAGAAAAAACCTCACGTATATAAAATTCTATGCTCTAACAATGACAAGACCCAGATGAAACACAGACATTGTTGAACAAGTATCTTCAATATTTCATAGCCGGCATTACTAAGCGGGAAAGATTGATAATTCTGGGTGACTTCAATGCTTGAGTTGACAGTGATCCCTAATGACGTTCATATCAACGTGACTTCGCTTAAAGCGATGTTGTACATTCTCGATATGTAGTTATTGTAAACAAGCTGAAGGAAAACCATCAGTAAAGGTTTTAGGTAATGTTTTGCGTTATCAAGACGCTGCTGGAAGGTTATAAAAAAAAACACGTCTCCGCGCCTATCTAAACAAGCTGTGTTCAGTTCCTATGAAAGAAGCGGTCCATAACGTTAGATGAACGGTGAAATTAAAACTATGACAAACGCAAGAAAAGTCATTGTCGACATATCTGTATCGATTCATGTATAAGCCGACAGATATGACCAGATTAATTTACTATCCATTCTTTAAAAAAAAATTCTAGACGCCGCACCATCAGAATCATCATTACTTCTGAGTGCTGATGAAACAAATTCAAACCAATAAGAAAATATTTTCGAACACAAAGATTGAAGTTGTGACAGCATCTAAATCGTCCTTAATCCATGAATGATGAAGCCTTAAATCGCCTACTTAGAGTTTCAGTATCAAGACATAGAAGAACCCTCAAAGCACAACGTGATCCATCAATAACAGTTAAAATATACCAAAAATGAGTATATCTTTGACCGAAAATTTAACCAGCAGTTTATGTTTTACATATATGTCAGCAAGTGATGATTTTACAGGATTTCAAGAGGGCTCATCTACTGTGGAAACATCCGTTTACCGTGTCATACAATATTTTGTCGATTGCAGCCAAGGTACTGGCTAAAACATTCCTACCATTCTTCATAAGAATTTAGAGAAGGGTTACCTGCCGTAATGTTAATGTGGTTTTCGTCAAAAGCGTTATAAAATTGATACGGTGTTTGCAACCAGACAGTACATAAAAAATGGAAGGAAAAACAGTGTTGACCTGTTATCCACCTATTCTTTGATCAATTCTTTGGACTTTGTTATTATAGCAAGCCTTTGAAAGATCATATAAATGCCATAGAAAGTTAATTCATTGGTACAGCAATTACTTGATGACATGCAAGCTAGGGTCTAGTCGAATTGGTAATGGTGTCAAATCAGGGAGTGTCCAAGCAAGAGCAATTTTTAGCTTCATGTCTTCTGCCATATGGACTGACGCCTTCGGAGAGGCAGACTGTAGGATCTGTATCATATTACAAATTGTAAGTTATTTAACCTCAGGTTCAGAATCAGAAGTAAATATGCTATAAATGTTCTTTGAGGAATTGGAGGCAGAGCAACCAATATCGTAGTTTTTGGCTGTGTACACCGTTTAGCGGAGGGTTTATAAAGGAAGGGAAAATTAAGGAGGTTCAGTTTTTTTTATTTAGGAGAAAATATGGATGATAGGAGAGAGAGGTTATGTGATATTGAAAAAGATGTTCTTGGGGGAGGGGTGAGTTGGTGGTCATGTATTTAAAAGAAGTAGTAAAAAATATTTTGTTTCGAAAGCACACTTAGGTTGTGGCTAATTTAAAATAGTCTCCCTTGACCTTGTCGACATCTAAATAGAATCTATAGCCTGTATCATTAGAATTCTGTAGAAAGATCTTGACAAATCAGAAAAGGAATACAATGTGTAAGCCCGTTCTTAAAATATATTTGATAAAGGCTATGTATATTATACGCCTCAAGGGGGATCGAAACCGAGATTTTTAGCTAACAAGATTACAAGACCAAGAGTTGTGAGTTTATATTCACTCTCTCTGTGTGTGTGTACTTTCTTTTTCGACATTGTACCTTTCCACGACATTGGACCAGTACAAGCCAACATTACACTGTAAGTCAATAGATTTGTTTTTATTTCTTTTTGGTTTTTTAATTTATTATTAAATTAATAAAATTATTTATCGTAATTAGTCCTAGTTTCGTTTTTCTTTGTTATTGTATTTAATTGATGGCATCGTCTTTTGTTGTGTACTGTTTTTTTCAATGAGCCGTATACTTAAATAAGCGATAAAAATTCTCAAGAATTATAAACAGTACGTAACAGGTGTCAACAGATTTTTTTTTAACGTTCGCCGTAAACCGCAGGTACAGTAAATAATCCAACGAATAAAAAGAAAAAAAGATCGCTAACCCCTCAACATTTACAATTGTTCCCTATCATAATTTTCTCCCTTTATGGAATTTTACTGACTCAGTTAAATGAAATAAAAAAAAAAAAATACCATAAACATTGTGAATAGTGTTCTTAAAAACAGACCGTGTCATATTTTACGAAGTAATCAACAATTAAAGGACACAGCCGCCGTCCTCATAGTGAAGTATGTGTTGTTTTTTTTGTTGTTGCTAGAATCATATAACATATTAAATGTATTTTGATCTAATTTTTACTTGACAATGCTTGAGGGAATAATATCTTTACTTTAAAAAAAAATAAGCCTTGGTATAGGAATTTATAACTTCCACAAATCAATTAAACAGGATGAATTTATTTTTTATTAGCCTATATCCCTGGTGTGGCCCGGGATTGCATTATGACCCCTTCCTGGCGTGACCCCCGATCCTATTGGGACCCCGATCCCATTCTGACACCACATCAATCTCGGCGCGGTCACGTTTCCTGGTGTAATCGCGATACCGTTGGATCCATTTAAGGTTAGGATCCCGATTCCAGTGGTATCCCATTTTTCTAGTGGGATCCTGATCACGTTGGCATAAAGATTATGATGGGATCACGACCCCTTTGGGATACCGTATAAAAAATTACTCACAGTTACTGAGAGAACAGTGAACTCTGGGACAGTATATAAATGAATAGAATTAAGAAACCTTTCAATAAATCGTTAGATCCCACTATGTATCCCTTTGGAACAATTAAAAATTTTCTGGAACATTCTATGCTCCAAACATGTGTAAAAACTACTTAGCTAATTATTTTTCAAAAATAATTAAAAATCTTCAACAACACCTTTGTTATAATTCTTTTTCTTTTAAGCTAATTGAGGGGCCTCAGGGAGCCCATTCCATAACTGTACCAATACAGTTATGCCCGAGATGGGGGGAGGGGGGGCTATCAAATTAGACAGATAAATAATAAAGTTAAAAATTAAAATTTGTCCCATTAAAATTTTCCTAATAATGCCATAGATATAGCTTTTTTAAATGATGGAACTTTCAGGAAAATTCTAGATTGGATATTATTAGTTTTAAAGCCACCGATATTTCAATACGAACAATAAAGGGTATTGCTACCCGACTAGGCCTCTATCCATAAATTCACATAAAACTATTAGTGTTGTCTAAGCCTATTGAAATTTACATTGGTTATTTAAAAATAAATGAAATGGGGGCCCCAGCACCAGACGAATGGATATTATGAGTTCAGTACCCTTCGGTATTTGAGTATGGATAATAAAGAGTATGTGTTCTAAGTTTGGTCAAGATCCATTTATTTGTGTAGGATTATTTGTTTCTAATTATTTTTATATAGTTCATAAAGGAAAAAACGACATTTTGGGCCCTGGGCCCCAAACGTAATGTTATAAAAAACTTCATAGCCCCTTAAGTCTTCCTTCTAGATAATGATGGATCTATGTGCCAAGTTCGGCCAAGATCCATTTATTCATGTAAAAGCATTTGTGGAACAAACAGACCCACAAAAAACTTTCACTTTTAAATAGACACTAGCGGATATACCCGGCGTTGCCCGGGATTGCATTATGACCCAATCCTGGTGGGACCCCGATCCCAATGAGACACCAATCCCATTCGGACCTTGATCCCGGCACAATCCCGTTTTATTTTCTCTCATTTTCTTGTGGCTCCGGATTCAGGGGCTAACCAGATCCCGGTGGGATCCCGATCCTGTTGGTATCTCGATTCCGGGGGATCCCGATCTTTAATATTTGGATTTATAGCTTCCACAAATCAGTTTAACTTGATTAATCTATTTGCTATTTAGGCCTATCTTAAAGATGTTATTACACAATGTTTTCTGTAAAAAATGTTAATAAAATAGTTTAAATAACTTACTCTCATCATCTTCACTAAAACCACTTTCAAATGAAGCTGTTACTCCTGTCACTATTGGAAAAATTGAATCTTTTTCAAAACCACTTTCAGTTGAAGCTTGTGCTCTTTCCACTATTGTTGGCCTGCTGTTTTCGTGTGTGTGTGTGTGACCATGGAAGATAATTAAATTATTTTCATTATAGTGAATGACCAGATAATTAACATCAACATTATTTTTCAGGAATTTATATGCTTTTTTTTATTGATCAAATAATACAAATCTAATATTAAAATATTTCCTGAATTATTAGATACTATTAATATGTAAAAATACTCCTACCAAAGCCAGATAAAAAGCAGAGTTACCAAAAAAAAAAGGATATTATCATACATTCTTATACTTTATTGTTTTATACATGTTAATTAATTGTAAATGTTAATTAATAATACCCTCTTCTCTAACTCGCAAATAAGTTTTAAAAAGTCGTTGGTGTACTCCTATCATACTAATACATTTTTATATATATTTTAAAAACAAACATTAAGGCTTTGAAGCCACAAGAGAAACTATGTTTATTTGCATGTACGGGAAATAATTCAACAAATAAGTGGGAAAGAAAAAGTATTCCTCATAATATTTTTTCCTATTCGATTTTTTAGCTAAGTTTTTTTTTTTTTTTCAAACCTTGAGGGTAGGCTTTCCACGGAGGATAGAGCGAACCGGAACTCTTTTTCATGCTTTTTACCTAAAAAGAAAAAAAAAAATTATTAAATTTTTAAAAAAAATATTTTTTCCTATTCGATTTTTTAGCTAAGTTTTTTTTTTTTTTTCAAACCTTGAGGGTAGGCTTTCCACGGAGGATAGAGCTAACCGGAACTCTTTTTCAAGCTTTTTACCTAAAAAGAAAAAAAAAAATTATTAAATTTTGAAAAAAACCAACTCCTTAACTTTACAAAACACACCATTTGTACCATTTTAAATATATGTAGCATTAACTTGAAACATATATATTATTAAATAATTACATAACCTATGCCTTGCTCCTTTTCTATTAAAATTGCAACTCATTAAAAACATAAATTTTTATTTCAAGACGAATTTCTGTTCCAAATTCGCAAGCCTAATAATCTTGTTTTTTTAAGAACTATTTTTCATCTTATAGAATGTTCCCTTGCCTATAGTCTGCATTTTTCGGAAAATGGAAAAATAAAATCATTCAATTTTGAGGTAATCTTAACACCTACTTGTTCAAGCCCTAAACTTTTTTTTGAAAATTGAAAAAAAATAATTTTAAGTATTATTTTTCCAGTATGTAAATGATAGGGTTTATACATAAGTTATGCTGATTTAAAAAAGTCTCTACGCTCGTTCTTTCAATTTTTTTTCAGAAAAATTAAAACATTGGGTGTCTTCATAAATATGTGTCCTTGTACTTGCACTCCAACTGTGTATTTTGAAAAATATAGCACATTTCATTGGGTTCAAATTAATACAAATTAATTTTTTTAAAAACTTTATTCGATCTAAGGTATGGATGTACTAATGTACATGTCTCTACAATATTACAACACTCTTCGACTGCTCTTTCTGACATATTTTTAACAATTATTTTAAAAGAGAATCGCATAGTTTTTCTCATTGTAATTTCATTGGATTTAAATATATTGCTATTCACATAAAACGAATACATCCACATTCTCTATAGAAATGTGTTGGTAGTTAAACATTTAAATACATTACTTTTTTTTTTGATTAATAACTATTGATATACCAATATCAGGCGTAAAGCCCATTTAAACTTTGAGATTCTCAAACGTATGATAATCACTGGTGTTAGTATGAATGCTGTATGGGTCCATGAGTTGCCTCGTGAGTGTTATTAGTGTGTCCGAATCATTGGATGACACGAAAAACTAATAAACATGTGTGTGGATATATATGGTGCTACGATGGTTGAGTACGTTCCGGGTAAAGTTTTGAAATGAAACCTGCATTTGTCACGCACTGGCTTCTATTGTGAGAAATTAATCTCTTGTTTTAAGTTATGGCTCGTTCAAACAGTGCCTAACAAAGGACGATACCATAGAGGAAATATAATAACAAAATTACGACACCCAAAATAGTACCAATCACAATTAAGAAAGATTTAATTTGGTAATAATACAATTAAAAGCAAATCATCAACTTACAGTATGTTAGATCTTGTATCGGTACACAGTTAATACAGTTAGTACAATGTGCCAATTAATAATGATGAATGGTCAATGCGAATAAACACATATAAGCCCCCAAAGAATAATACACCTGTCGTGAAGGTAAAAATATGTATCTGAATCTCAATTTCTTTTAATTTTATTTGGAGCTCTAGCTCCATTTGCTTAAGCTCACGTTCTTTTTCATCTCATCTCTTTGAGCATTTATCTCTATTTGTCTAAGCTCTCGTTCTCTTTCAACTCTCTCTCTCTCTCTCTCTCTCTCTGAGCATTTAGCTCCATTTGTCTAAGCTCTCGTTCTTTTTTATATATCTATCTCTCTGAGCATTTAACTCCATTTTTTTTAAGTTTCAGTTGGAGCTCCATACTAGAATCATGCGGTTGTGTGACTGAGGCCAGTTCGTCTTCAGACAACACATCTTCATCCACTAAGTGGATATCGTGTACGGTATATTTTACTGCTGAATGAGCTACGTTTATTCCTAAATCTTTAGCAATGGAAAATAGCTCCTTTCTAGAACTTTTGTCTAATGCCTCTACTGATGGGTTTTCAACATCAACATCAAAATCTATTTTGACACAGGCAAAATACAACACTTAGTGTTATAAAAAATGTAAGCTTATTGAACACACTTATTAAAATTGAATTTTAAAGAAAATTGTAACCAGCTCTGTTGTTGGTATCATAAAATGGTATCGTGAACTCAATTTAGTCTGACTGTTTTAAAGTAAACAGTGGGTGAATATCCACAGACAAACACTCAATGTATTATAAATGTATTAAAAAAATATGTATTCAAATACCCAAGGAAAAACCCACAATTTGTTAAATTGGGAACATGAAAAAAATATATAATGGATTCAGTTATCCTCGGAAGAGCCCACAATTGTTAAAATTGGAGACTTGTAAGAAATAAAAAGGTGGATTCAGATGTATCCCGGAGTAGTTACCCAATTAGTGAAAATTGGGGACTTGAGAAAAATAATAGTAATATTGATTCAGTAATCGCGGACGAGCTACCCGAATTCGTTACGCACTGACTTCTATCACGTTAGGCTAACGTTCACTGAGGGATCCGTTCCACCTAGGGACTCTCCGATGTTATCACTTCTCCTGATAGGATCCTGATCCCGGTTTGAGCCAGTTACCCGATGCGTTCTCGATGGTATCCTGTTCCCCGATGGAAACGAATAACCGATGTGTCCCATTAGGATCCTGTTTCACTATTGAATCATGCTCAGTGCGATTTGGTTTGAGTAACCTTTTAGATCAAATTATATATTCCCCTAGAAAAGTATAGAACATTCTATATTAAATTTAATATCCTCCTTGAAATGTGTAAAAATTACATTTCTACATAATTATTTCTCGATTGCGAAATTATTATACAACTACATTTTGCTACCAACTACGATACATTTAAATTGAAATGGGGGCCCAATTAGGGGTTCATTTAATAAATTACTGTTTTATTTATGTCTAAGATTGTGGGGGGGGGGAGGGGGGGGGCTATAAAAAATCATTGAGATAAATTATACATTTAAAACTTGTCCCATTAAAAGTGGTGTACATATGCCATAGACATAGCTTTTTTAAACTATCGAAGTTTCTAGAAAATTTTAGATCGGCCTTGAATGAATTGGATATTAAATCAAACGATATTTTAAAACTGAATAAGAATGGTATTGCTACAAAGCTAGACCTAGATCCACCTAATCACATAGAAAATATTGCGTTGTCTAACCTTATTGATATTTATAATAATAATAATAAAGTTCATTTCAAAAACACGCTTCATCCCCAAAGTCAACAAAAAACATATCTATAATTTACCACATTTAAAACAAATGCAACACTACAAAAACTAATTACAAGCATACAATCTCAAAGTCTTTCTAGCCATTTCAACCCGGAGCAACACAGCCATTATGCATTAACTGGAAAATAAGGTAGACAATCATCCCAGAAGGTATTTGCGAAATAGATGTGTCTTTAGATCGGTTTTAAAGGACTCCAGTGTCTGGTTGTTTCTAAGATCGACATGAAGGGCGTTCCAAATTGTTGGACCAGCAAATGCGAAAGTGCGCTTTCCGTAAGTCTCAAGGCAAACACGTGGTGTCGAGAGTTTGCCACTATCGGATGAGCGGAGCTCTCTACTGGGTACATAAGGCGTCAGCAGCTCTTTCAGATAGGACGGCGCCAGGTCATGTAAGCAGCGGTAGCACAAAGTTGCGATCTTGTACTCTATGCGAGCACGCACCGGCAGCCAATGCAACTCTCTCAGAAGTGTTTTTGCATGGTCGAATTTGCGTTTGCGGAGAACTATGCGAGCCGCATTATTCTGTGCTATTTGAATTTTATCCAGGAGCGTAGCTGAAAGACCCACCATGAGAGCATTGCAATAGTCCATGCGTGATAGCACAAATGCAGACATCAGCCTCTTTGTTGTATCAATTGTTAGGAAGGGCCTGATTTGACTAAAAAATTTGACTAATTTATATAGGTCTGGTAATTATGAGTTCAGTACCCTTCGTTATTTGAGTACGGATAATCAAGATTATGTTATTATTAAGTTTGGTCAAGATCCATCTATTCATGTAGGAGTACCAAGGCTATTGCTATTTATAGAGTTTATATAAGGAAAAAAAGGACATGTGGCCTCCGGCCCCAGAAGATGGATATTATGTGTTAATAATCCTTCGGTATTTGAATATGGATAATCAAATGTAAGTATATTTAGTTTGGTCAAGATCTATCTGTTCATGTAGCAGTATTTTTGTTAAGTTTTTTTCTATAGCTCGTGTTAAAAACAACAAAATCGGGGCCCCTGGTTGTGACCGTTCCAATTAAAGTTTCAAAAAAAAATGTGCTTAACCTTTGTAAGCCGTAAGGAATATCTCTGCTCTATTTTAGGCTTCTATCTACAAGGGAAGTTGGAGAAATAGGTCATAAAATAAAAAATGAAATGGGCCCCTGGCCCTAGAGGTACAATTTGGTCAAGTTCCAGATATTCATGTAGCAGTATTTGTTGTTAATTTTATTTATATAAATCATATATGAAAAAAACAAATCAAAATTCGGCGCCCACGGTTGTGACCGTTCTGGGTAGAGTTTCGAAATGAAACCTTTTTAAATTTTGTAAGTAAGGAATACGCCTGCTAAATTTCAGGCTTATATTTACAGCGAACGTTGGAGAATGTAGCTCATATAAAAAAAAAACTAAATGGGGCCTCCAGCACCAAAGGTATGGATATTATGAGTTAATTACCATTCGGAATTTGAATATTGATAATCAAAATAATGTTTGGTAAAGATCCATCCATGCATGTAGGAGTACTAAGCATATTGATATTTATAATGCTTATATAAGGAAAAATGATATGGGCCCCTGGCTACAGAGGGATGGATATTAGGTGTTAATTAACCTTCGGTATTTGAATATAGATAATCAAATGTATGCATATTAAGTTTGGTCAAGATCTAGCTATGCATGTAGCAGTATTTGTTGATCATTTTGTTTATATAGCTCATATTTGAAAAAAATGACATTTTGGGCTTCCGGCCCTATACGGTATAAAATTTCGAAATGACACCTAACTAACTTTTGTAAGTGAGCTGTAAGGAATAAGCTCGCCAAAATTCAGGCTGCTATCTATAGGGGAAGTTGGAGAATTAGTGATGAGTGAGTGAGGGCTTTGGCTTTTATTAGTATAGATTAAAATATTCCTCTTGCATCTTGCATCAACTAGCACAGGTTGGGGAACGAAAAGGAAGTCCTAAAACTCACCAAAAAATATTTTGAAAGTGAAACTCAGTTTTTTCAATGGATTCTTCAAGTTGGGGACGGTAAAATTGTAGACACGGCAAAACTATCTCCTTATTGTTTACGACCACGGGTGGCTCAACATTGTAGTGGCATTAATTTCTCGATTGTTACTTCCCAAGAACTTGCTTCAAGAGCAATGCTGAGCGTCACAAACGGCGATTCACATGAACAACAAATTTATTGATCTTATGTAGGTTGATAAAGTGACTTTCAAAAGTGTATATACAGTGGTTAGTGATGATCCTAATGATCAACTCAAGTACCCATAGAAGTCTTTACACACCCTTTCACCAACCGTCATGCCTCCAAATATCCTTGATCTGAAGGTGGCGGCCGAAGTTATGCTCCTCGCAATATTATGCCTTTAAGAGGTCTTTGCAATGGAACCAGACTCATCGTTACCCGAATTCATTAAAATATTATTGAATTCAAAATGATCGCTATCAAAAATTCTGATTTTCATTCTAATTGTTCATTCCTATAATCTCTCTTCTTCTTTCGACAAAAATCTCCCAATTTCAATTTAAGCACTCTCAATTCCCACGCAGTCTTCTCAATGACTATCAACAAGGGCCAAGGACAAACGTTTGAAAAGATTTGCGTTCATCTACAACAACCAGTTGTACGTGGCTTTTTCTACAATTAGATCTTTTGACTCATTATCTGTCGTCTCCGGCAAAAATAACTGCGTCTTTATGAGGTGAGTCTTTCTTCTTGGCTCATGAATTCTATTCTCACAGTTTTCCGTTTCTATTCGTACATCGCCTTTTGCTATGGTGGACAGAAACTAGTTAATATTATTTTGGTCTTTGGTAACAATTTCAATGATTATTTTTACAGTGCACTTATCAATAAACATTTAGTTAGATATCGATGTGCATCTTTTTCTTTATTAACACGTGACTTTGTATAGTATTGTGTAGTACGCCCACGTGTAAAATATTAAAGATCATTTTTTGGGGGGTTGCAAATTTTGAAAATTTAAATGTAAAATATTTGAAAATTCTTAAATATTCCAATGGAATATAATTTGAAACTGAAAAAATAACTTAAGTTTTTATCTTATGTATTTTTATAGTTAACCTATCTTAATTGACCTGTTTTTTTTAAAATTTGTTTCTGCAATGGGCATTTTCTCTCTTTAAATTGACAAACGATTAAAACTTTGACTTTTGCCAACATCATTAAAAAAAAAAAATTCCCCTTTTAAATGTTGTATTCGTCTTTAAATCATGGCTTTTGGCCGTCCCCAGATTGAATATTACCTGAAAAGGCGAGCCCCAAAATTCTCTTAATATAAATTTTAGTTAAAAAGTTACAATAACTTACATTCTGTCATATCCAGAAAATAATCATCAAATTCATCAGAGCAACTCATTTCATCAGAACTACTCGTCGATGACGAATATTTTTGTTTTCTGTAATAGAATTGACACATGCTTTATTTTTTTAATCTTTTAAAATGGGGGGAAAAGTTTTCATTGTGTTTAATGACCGAATTATTTAAATAAAAATTATGATTTTACATTGGTAAAGGATAATATTTAGATATCAGATAATACATAGTGAAAATATTTATTGATTTCTTAAATGATAGTGATGAGTAAATACAATTAGACAGCCATGTTAGTTGAGATAGGGTCTAAAGCTGTCATTTCGTGATGTTCAGGCGAAGATTACCAGAGCAATGTGGGCGTGTATTCTTAGTTCCTTTTTAACATGCTATTTCTAAATGTAAATAGTCATAGTTTATTATCTAGGAATTTATAAGAACATGTTTAGAATCTTACGTTCTGATCACAGCCAAATGCCACATTTACCTGTTTTTCATTCAAAGAATATTTAATTATTAGATTGGGATCTTTTCCTAAAAAAAATAATTAGCGGTCTTTTAATTATAGGCCCAAGTGCGTGAATATTTTCCCGCTGTACGTTGTCTGGAACAGCTATACTAATTTAAATAGATTTATTATAATCATTGTTTATTGATTTCAATAAAAGGCAATGATACATATCTCATTCTTTTAAAACTAAAAAAAAAATTAATAAAAAATCCATCATTAGTATTCTCGTCAAATAAATCATCATTTTAAAAATAATTCACTTACTCCAACGGTTCTTCCTTTAAAAAAAATATATATATGATAAGAGTGTCAGATTTTCTTATTTTAGAGTTATCTTTATAAAAAATATAGGTCATTTATCGATTTTAAAAATGTTTTATTTGAACATCTTGCTCAGAATATGTACAATTAAAAGTACAAAAATTTAAGAAACCTTTCACATGTCAAAACAATTGAAAAATCTTTTAGAAACAAAAGTGACGTTATTTTATTTACCTTTCTTTTCCCACATCTGAGCCTATTAAACCAATATCTGGAAAGTTTAATGTCAAAGCCTGAGGTGAGAAAATATTAGCTGAAAATAAAATAACAACATAAATGAAAATTAGATAACAATCTAAAATAATCTTTGAAAAAAAAAAATTATTATGTCTATTTTTTTAAAAATTATTGTCGTCTAAAATGTAATGTAGTTAGCGGTACTAATAGTTTTGTCTTTGATATAATTTTTATTAATAGTTATTTTATAAATTGCATTTATCAAAACAAATAAATTAAAGATCAGTGTGAAGTTTCTTTTTCGTGTAATTTTTAAAACATAACTTTATGTAATAATTAACAGGTCATTTTTTTACGTTATTTCGAAGTTTCCTTATGCTAACGAATGTGCCCTAACCGTTGGATTAAAAAGCGGATATGTAACAATGAACATTTAAAGGGTGGAGTGCGCACAACGCAAATCGTAGTTTATTAGACATAGTGTAGTTGGTTCAGTGGTGGGTTAAAGTTAATAATATCTATCTGAATCTCCGTCCTTTCCGAGATGGTTAATCCTTTATATAGGTGGGTCCACAAATGCCTAAGCCCTGCCTTCGAGAAGCTACATAGCATTTCAAGAACAATCACAGTCATTCTACAAAATACTATTTGGAACAGATTAATTATTTTTAGTTGCTGTCGGCATCAACACGACAGATCAAACGACTAGGCCACACCCATCTGTGAACACATTGTCTCATGCGGGGTCAATCAGAGTGCACGCACGAGAAAAATAATGTAAACAAACTCTATATAACAGTCTTAATTGAAAATATATACGGATATTAAATAAGACGTTTTGCATAATATGTTGCGAGAGAAAATTTCAAATTAATAAAAGAAACAAATTATACATGCGTTCATAGTAAACGGCCGATTATAGTATTTTTTTTATCAGTGTAACTTCTAACAGCAGATGCATATTTTTTCGGCTCTACTTACAACAACAGTATGCATGGCATGCAAATTTTAAAATAAAAAACGTTAGCCACACCCTCCCCTACAAATGTCCATACAATTATTATTTTTCTCCTTTTTTATGGTAACTCATTGACTCAATAAATTGTAGGAAAATAAAAAATAGTATATTAACATTGTATATATTGCTCTTAAACAGAAAACATGTAAGCATTTTTCACAGAATTATTGGACAGCCCCCATTCCTGTTATGACGTTCTATTTTCTAGAAGGCTGCGACTATTCTTAACCGGGTTCCAGAAGTGAGAGGTGGGGATTAAAAAACTATTTAAAATTTTATTGTTGGGTTTGTTAGACGAAATGAGGTATGAAATGAAAGATAATTGAATGGACGATATGTGTGTAAACTTATTTCTTCAGTTTAACTAAAATAAAATACAACAAATGACATCCGAATAGCACTGAGTCAAAATGCAGACAGACACGCAGAGCCACCATTCGCACCTCACTGTGAAGCCATTTCAACCCGTGAAAGAACCTCTTTAATGCCAGGCACAAAAACATTGCGAATCCCCTCTACATACATAGGAGCCAGAATGATCAATGTATTGATCGTGGGCCCTTTATATATAGAAGGAGAAAAAGAATACGTTTTAAGGCCACCGAAATTTATAAGTGTTATATATACAAAGTTTCGAAGGATGCAACAATTTACATACACGCTTGCGTTATAACCTAAGCCTTCTTGTAAAGCTTTGGTTATTCAAAATAAAATACATGCTAGAACCTTCTAAACGGATCTGAAATAGAATATCTTTTAATCTGAGGTCATAACATTTGTGGACCATCATGGACACGTTCAGAATCATAAAACATGAAAGGTACAACATGATTGTAATCAGAGACTCCGCAAGTCTTTTTTGAAAAGCCCCTGCCTTTATACGGGTTGATGTTTTATTAAGAACATAAATACCTCGTTTTCACATCATAATTTTTGGTCGCTTAAATACCAGGCCCTTGGTATTGTAAACTGATAGTGTTGAGTTAAATATATCTGAGCGTCGATTTTTTTAATTGAGTTAGGCCGTGGTGTTTCCAATAACATTTCTTTCCAAACTATATTTTTAACCGATAGCTATACACACATTATGTTTCATTTATTATTAGCAGCCTTACATTGTGTAAATGGGGCGGCAGATTAATAAAAGCACCATTTAGGCATTACATTTTGATTTTTAAAGACTTTCTCTCTGCGTGCATTTTCATCTTGTGTTTGGAACATTTTGCATCTATCTATCGTTCTTGTGTTCGTAGCTTTTATTTTCTTTTTCACACACGTGACATTTTAAGATTTCTAGTAAAGTCTTACTTGGTGAACGGCTGAAAAAGAAAAATATGCTGACGTACTTTCAAAACAAATCTAATCGTATTATGATATAAAGGCATAGGAATGTTTCAACTTACCATCAACTCCATCGCTCAGTCTCAGGCATGCATTGTCCCAGACAACATCCTTACAAAGTAAAAAAAATCTTTGAACCTGTTCCCTTTCAGTTTCCTCATTTTCTGTCTTAGTATGCAGCAAAACACAACGGTTTTTGCACTCCTTTACAACATCTTTAAAAACACTGGGTTCCAATCTATTCAGCCAATCTTCAAAATTATTGAAACCACCTGTTCTTTTTGATTCCTCAAAAACTTCTCCGTTTGTTATTGCAATAATCACATGGTTCTCAATGATTGCTTGTCCTAAAACTGATTTAAGTGCTTCAATGTATTCCTTAGATTCATGACTCAGACAATTATTAAAAGAAAGACAAAATACAACAATATGAAAATTATCCAAAATCTTATAAATGTATCCCAAGTTTGTAAGAAATAGTTTTAAACCATCTGAATCTTTACAAAATAAGTCCGACACATTTTGACATGTAGCACCAATAATTTTCCATCCAAAGGCATCATCGTTACGAATGAATTTTAAATTTTGATATTCAAAGGACTCCTCAGTAATGTGACGTCCATTTCGAGTTAAAGTTTTAAGTGTCCAGGTCTTTCCACTTTTTGAGCCACCAACAATAATAAGGCGTAACGGTTCCTTATTTATTGATCGGGAATTAACTTCTGACTTGAGGCTACGATTATATTGTTTGAATTTAACAAAGCACCATTTTAGAAACAAGGCAAAACTGAACCCAGTGGTAAATATAAACAATTTATTACCTGAAATAAGAAAATAAGTTACATTTTAAAAAAGAGTATACAAATTCAAATCTTTATTAACCTTATTTATAGATGCTTTCATATTTAAAACTGATAGCACTTATTAACATAAATTCGCTAGATTTTAAAGCTAAATTTTATGTTTTAAAAAAAGAAACATAATTAAGTCTTTAAAAAATATTTTTTTTTTAATTAGAGATATATTTTAAATTAGATTTGCATGCATAGCTTCATTCTAAATTGTATCATAATCTATTTTTATTAATATTTAATTAATACATCATTGTTGAAATCTATAACCAAAACTCTTCACTACCTAATATTAAAAAAAAAAAAAACTTTTTTGTTAAACACCTCTCATAATCTGATTGGCCGTATTTAGAGATGGAGTTATGTTGAGCTCTCCATTATTTGCTTCCAGTTATGCCATATTATCTGCTCTCGTATTTGCCAGTATAGTGATGTGTCCTTGTATCTAATGTAATGTTAGCTAAAGTACGTATGCTTCAGGGAAGGTGTTAATTTTCAGACGTAATAAATATAGCATTCTAGGCTCTTTATAATGAGCTTCTAAAACTTTTTATTTACTTGTGGCTCGAATGCGATTCAGTGCACATCTTTGTGATATTTTACTTAACAAACAATATCTTTGCTCATCGGACATTAAAGATAACAAACAAAATACATATCCGATGTATCCACATCGGCGTTCAGTTCTTATTACGATACGCCAATGAGAGTGAAGAACAATATTTAAAGAAATCGATATTTTTGTACCAGATAGCTATATTTAATTAATCAAATATTCTCTACAAAGTAGACATTAATTTCCCTTAATTAATATTTTCATATTCATTGTGAATTCCGAATTGATTTTTAAAAAGTATTTTTTTATATCAACTTTTCGTGAATTCTTTCACTTCCTGTAACCTCCTTTAGTTTTAGACAACTTCTTGTATCTATCTTATCATTCCAACAACCGACAAGCTAGGTAAATGTGTATCAGCATCTTTGGTTTCTTGTTAGTTTATATGTATACTGTCTTTGTCTTTGTTTTTAAATGTCAATTTTTCTTAGTCTGCGCTCAGCCTTTAAGACCCCTTGCCCCTTACACTTACTAGTATGCTAGGTATGCCTTACAAGTACGCCACGTCACAAGATCAACTTTTTGGAGTGGAATTTTTTAGTTTAGTTTGGATAGTGTAATCAGTAATAAACAATTGGAAATATTCGTAATGCTTGCAATGCATTTCTGAATTTTCTAACAATCATTCATTCTAAAGGTCAAAAATGATAGATGTGGTACGTGTTCTTTCTTGGAAACATTTAGAATCATTTAGAATATAACTCCGAAAGATGAGTTGATCTTCAGCACGCTATCCAACTCTCAAGCAATTTTTTTTATTAACTGTACCTGTGATTTCTAGCTAAAATACTAGATTGATTATCGAGCTTTCTTCAAGATTACCAATGCGAGAAGAGCAGATGTAATGGAAATTTGTTTATAGCTCAAAAATATTCTTCTAAAATTGTAAGAATTTTACATTGCATATTAATACGATGAGGCGTGCATATTGTCCAGTATGGCCATTACTATGAATATTATCTTGGCCCTTTGCTTTTAGAGAAATCAGAACACCGTTTGTGTTAAACCAGGCAAAGCGAGCATAGATAACTGAGGCAATAACCTAACGTACATGCTCTAGGTTCTTTGGCTTTTGCCAACACATATCTAGCATCGGTTGACTATTTGTCACTACATCGTGATCGCAGATGTTAAGACACATCTTTACAAGGCAAAGAATGTCCATAGCTAATCTTGCCCATTCCCAGCCACCTAATGTCACATGGCACTCTAGAATTTCACTGTGTTAGTTTTGGGAATATTGTACTTAGAGTATTGTCAAGTCGTGGCTCCTCTGTGTTAGTGTGAGGAATTTAATGAGCGTAGAGGCAGAGGCCGTCATATCTGGCCATCTAAGTTTTTTTTTTTTTTTTTTAAATAGATGTTTTTATATATATATATATATATATATATGTTAAACATAACGACCGATGAGTCGAGTTATCATAAAGCTATGAAATTTCTGGGTACACTACAAGGAAGCATAATAAAAGGAGAATAGAGCCAAAGGACAGATACATGAGGGATGGTAAGGGTTTAGTTAGTTTGAAGTAACGTGTTTTACATTTTACTCGTAAAGGTGACCCAGCCTCCTTCCCTGGGTCCAGTTATATCAATGCCCTTTATGTGATATCATGTGTAGAATATGAATGACACAAACATTTTCTTAAATAAATGGTTATATTTATATATTTTAATACCAGTTTGTATAAGTATACATACTTTTTAAAAACTTTTATTCTATAACGAAATTGCATACAACTTTTACGTCGAAGACAAACTTGAATTTATTATGTTCTATGTATTACTTGTACAAGGAAAAGAAACATCTTCAACTCACAACATATAATGATAACAGGAACTCTAAGATTTGTTTGATGATAAGCATATAATGGCTTTAGATTCCAATTATTGGATATTTGAGAGACCTGACCATTTTTATGAAATGTACAAATGTGGAAAAAAAATATATCCCTTTTAAGTATTATTTTTATATATTTAAATCTTTGTTATTGATTGATATATTTTTAGAATCATCACAAATCTTAATTCTCTAATTATGCAGGTAGTTCTTTAATACTGTGTTCAATAGACGAAACGCATACAATTCCCCAAAGTTAGCACAAATTAGCTTACTTATAAAGTGCGTTACTTGAATGCTTGTTTGGTGAAATACGATGGTAGATGGCAATATCACGCAATCCCGTCGCCATTGTTTGGCTGGTAATATCTAGTTTTTGTAATAACGTTTAATGTCTTAGACTGCAAAGAGAGATTATTTCTCTAAATCGGTAGGTTCTGTAAGGCTTAACAATAAAGGTGCCAGCGATCCCGTGGAGTACGACTAACGAAATGAATTTGGATTTTGTAGCCCGGGGGTCACCTGAGCTTGCCAAAGTTTTCTTAATAAGGCCTAGCTTCCTGTTTGTATCCTTCTAATTTTAAACACACCCTAACCCTATTACCTTATATATTATAATTATAACATTATAATTATAATAATTAGGTAACCCCATATTTGTGACACATAATTAAAGGTAATATATTGTTTAAAAGGTTTGTTTAATGTCATAAAATATTCCAATAAAGTTTATAGCGTTACAATGTCTTACATGAAATACTAGACACATTCTGAAACATTTTCAATTTGAAGATCAGTAGGCAAAATAAAATCGGGTTTTCCCTCCCTTATTTTGTGTGCCTTAGAGCAGCGTTCCCCAAACCTCGGTCCGTGGACCGGCATCGGTCCGAAAGCCTTACACGTTACCGGTCCGGAGAGCAAGAATAGTGATGTTTCAATAGAAAGAAAATGTAATTAATAAATCTGGCACTGGTCCCTGGTGCAGTTTGGAAACTTGTACACCGGTCCGTGAAAACTTAAAATTAAAAGTTTGGCAAACGCTGCCTTAGAGTGGCAGGTTTACATAGTAATTGAGTTACAGGACTTCAAAAAAAAAAAAAGAAAAAAAAAGAAAAAAAAAAAAAAAAAAAAAAAAAAAAAAAAAAAAAAAAAAAAGAAAGGTACAGCTTGTAATATCTTTACGTTCGTTTTTTTTTTTTTACTACAGCAAATATGAAATTTAAAATAAAATTTAAAAAATTAATATCTTTCTTTAAATAAATTATAAATTATTAGTTTATGTTAACGTTCAATTTGAAATCGATACCGGAGATATTTTTTTTATCCGGAAGGGATATTTACCTCGCCAGTGTCTTCATCCGCGGCCTCCTCGAATTAACTATATACTAGTAACTTGGGGAAAATCCGTTCTTTTCGTTACAGCAATGTTTCAAAATTGAGAGAACGTAAGATTTTGTTTTGTTGTTTGAACATAATACACATGTCTTAAAACTGCATCAGCCCATTGCCATTTATTCATGTAAAGTAAATCCCAATCTTTGTTTTTAACTAGCTAACATTTTTTTTTCTTTTTTTTTAAAATGTAAATACCATCGAATCTTCCTTTACTTCCTTTCAGACGACTCCAAGTAAAGAAACAACCCGTCTGCCGTCTTGGTAGTAACAGTGACAGTTAAAAATAAATTAACTATTTTTCATATATAATATATAAAGAACTGTGTTTGAGAACACATACAAAAGTCCACACGATTTAGTTCAAAGCGTGCAGAATAAAAATATATCTAAAAGATTTCATTCATATATTAAATACGCACAAAAGGTAGAGAGAATATTTATTGAGGAGATTTGCAAACCGGTTCTTATTTCAAGGGGAGGGTACGTCATAATTAAGTTTTAAAATTATTTTTGGGATTGAAAATTCATATCCACAGAGAGGGTTGTCAAAAAATATACGAGTAGCCTACAACAAGGGGAAGAAGCTTTGAAAATTAACGTTAAAAATGTTATTAGGCCATACATGGATGGCTCCTTAATCCTTATTTTAAATCATCTTTCCTTGTTTTCACCTGACTTCTTGCAATTCCTCTCACGAGTTATTCAAAAGATGGGAAGAATTGATCCGAGCCATTTGATACAGGAACCTGACCGTTATACAGATGTTTGGGTAAATAAAACAATAAATCAGCATTTTGTCTTTGCTTACGCATAATCAAGGACTAAGTATCAGATTTAGCTTTTTATAAGAATTGGTTTAGTATTGTTTGTAGTACAACATATATTTAATTACTTTCTCCTTTTCAACATTCAATGAATATGGCCAGATCACAAGAGAATTTAATATGCTGAGCACATCTGCACATCACAAGCTCACAGTTCATGGTGATTGAAGATTCCAAAAAGATTAAATTAACACGAATTAGGAAAAATAACATAAATGATAGTTGTAATTACAAGTAACAAAAAAAAAAGAATTAAAAAATATTGCAACGGAACTGTTAAATAAGGTCATGCTCGTACAAATGCCCAAGGTGGACCTTTATACTTACAAAAGCTGTATTTTAATTCTCTGAGCCCTACCTGGAGCGTTAAAGAAAACCGGCAACACTTAAGAGAGATATATTATATTGCAGATAACGGTACTTAAGAAAAATATGTCAAATAAGTTTGGAGCCACAAGAATATTGGTACTTTTGTTTGGACTTGCACAATTATAGGAATAAGAAGTATACAAAGGGTAGAGAAACACTTGAAAGGGACAATGCAAAAAGGCCTAACTTTTTTGTAAGAAATCTTCGACAGCAAACATATTTAGACAAAAAACATAGCTTATATTAGAGATATTATTTTTACAGGAAATGGGAGCATATTCAATTACTGAAGTGCTCCTTTAAATTAAAGAATGGTGGTATGAGATTATAAGGAAATGTAAAATGTTAAATATAAAATAATTAAATGGAGCTAAGAGGAACATAAAAGATTGCTAACTCTCTCTCTCTCTCTCTCCACCTGCTTATTGTATCTGTGAAGCTCATATCCCTTCTTACTTATGCCGATATATTTTCTGTGTTTGCACATTTGTGGAACAACCTAATGAATAGTATTATATGCAGTTAATATTCATAAATATTTGAGTTCTTTTCCAAAACGTCTTTTACTGACCGCCATCTTTTTGAAGCACTTAATAGGGAAAAAAAAAATTATGATTATTATCTCTCTTCCTGTTTCTCTAGAACTCCAAATATATTATGTATGTAAAGGAATAGCCGAACTGTTTTCTGTGTTCTCTCCATGACATCTCACTCATATTCACCACCCTTGCTAAACTTATCTGCGAAGTTCTCGCTGTTTCAAAGAAATCTACATTTTTTTACAGGAAGAATTCTAAATGCGTTTTAGTCAACTAATAGTTGGTTTTTGTCATAATATATTTAAAGCTTCCGCCTGTTTTATACTCAAATTAGTGCATGACATTGAATAAAACGTGGTGTTTTTTTTGACATTTGTTAACATCCTTATACCCAACTAGAAAATATCTATTATAGGCATGAATTTGCTCAATATCCTCGAGACATGATTTATCGCAATGACCATGATGATGAGCCAGCCTTTATTTGTGCATTGACATAGTTTTTTTAGCATGTTACTATTAGATTACTCTTCTCTCACTTTAGACAATTCATTTGGAGAAGAATTCAAGAATAACTTTGAGGAACCTTGACCCCTTCAGTCAAAGATATCATTCCAGCGTTTGAATATCAGTCTAGTGCGTTATTTTTTTAAAGTCAATAAAGACATACCCTAGTCATTGTTTGATTTATTCGAAGATATTTTGATTGGTCATTCCATTTGCGGAAATATGGATTGAATATGTATGTGGATTCAATGTTACGGTACAATTGTAAGAGTTCCAAAAGCTATGAATTATATTGAGGATGTCAAAAGAATTTTTTATTAAATATCAGAATAGTTAAGAATCGGCCAACACTCAAATAACGGATTGGTGTTATAAGTCTTCTTTAATAAATGAAATAGCAGCGTCAGTTAAATATGTTAATTTTTGCAATGTTAGCAACAAATGAATCTATTTTTTTTTTTAAATATGACTTCATTTAAAAAAGAAGAAGATTAAGAATTTTAATAATATTTTAATTGCTAGCTTATTTAAAAATAGCTCTAACTACATGCATGCATAGTTTTAACATTTTTTAAATTATTTATATTTGAATTTGAAATCGCTGTTTTTAAAACTGTATTTAGCAGGTATTCCTGAAAGCTAATTAAATGTTATTATTTTTTTTATTTTTTTACAGGTACACATTTCAAAATGTAATGATCTCAATTTAGTCGCTATTTGTTAAGTTACATCAAAGACAAAAGTGATCGTAGACATTTTTATTGATATAAAATTATCCTTCAATTACCAATCGATAACCTCATCAGAACAGTTTTTGTTTGATGACAGAAATGATGGACAAAACGTTTGTAATAGGTTTCCTGACAGGAGTTTTGTTTATAAAAGTTTTAGTTTCTAAGGTACCCTTTTTAGGCTCTTTATTAAACTCTGGGCACGCTCTTGAAATGAGGAATATGGATGATGACCAATCGCAAAAACATCCTTTGAGATTTCTTGTTGTCGGGCGTTCTAAGAGTGGCAAACGCTTGACCGTCAAGTCATTTGTTCAAAGAGACTGTGCTGTGACAGACTCGGGAAATCCTGGATTAACAAATGCACGTCATTCAAACTCTTATGGTTGGAATGTATACGCTCTGGTTAACAGATGTTTCCAAGCATCTGTTTGTGAAATGCTTATGACTTCAGAGTCAGCTAAAGAGTTCTTTACACATATATTAAATCATAAGATTCACGTTGTGATTTATTGCTTTCCTTTCAATGAACGTTTGACAGATGAAGATGCAAAATTTCTTGACAACCTTAAGTTATTGCTAGGCTCATCTAGATTCAAAAATAATATAATCCTAGCCATGACGTTTGGCGAAGACTTCGAGGAATACAAGGACAAGAGGGGCTATACTAATTTTAACAACTGGCTGGAAGAAATGGATCCTGGACATTTAAAGAGAATCTTAAAGGATTGTAGCTACAGATGTGTAATGTTTAAGAATAAAACTGAAATCCATGCAATAAAAAAACAGCAGGCTATTGACCTTTTTAGCATGGCGGAAAGTGTTGTATGGAATAATGGCCTGGTCCCATCAGACGGTATTAATATTCACGATGATGAAAGTGAAAAGCAGATTGTAGGGTTTAAACTTTTAGAAAACCAAAATAGCAAAGACGAAAAGAATAGACCATTAACTTTGCAACCAGGACAAATGAAAAGATCCCAAGTCATTCCTGACCTTAGAACACTAGTCGAAAATAAAATGCAATTTTCGTCAAGCTCTTCTAATACAGCAGGTAACTTAAATAATTTTCTCTACTATTAATTTCAAAATTCATCATGCAAAATTACATATGATTCGTCACTATGATTTATTTTTGATATTTTTCAATAATTATAAACTGCAACTATCAAATATAAAAATTAAAAGCATAGATAATAAACAAAAATATGTTTAGCTTTTCATTTTAACTACTGAATGACATTAATTCTCTGGAAGATTTGTATCTTTTTATGCAAGTATCCACACAACTTGTTATAATCACAGTCAGACTTAATTTTGCATGATGAAATTCATTGATTAACAAACCTAATCAAATAATAAAAGCAATTTATAAGTAGACAAATTTATCAACGCCTTTGATATACCAAAACGTTTCTTACTTTCATTGTTTAATTGCAAGCTAATCTACGGGAACGATGGTACTGACTCCGGAGCCAGTCAAGTGCCCCCTCCCCCATAGCTAAATGTGTGCAACAATGTAATAAAAATAATTTTGGTAGAGAAATGACTAAATTGTCATTTTAAACAGTTTTTTTTGTAAATGAACTAACTTGTGCCTTTAACCAATTACAATTTGTTGAATCTATAAAATATCGCTAGGCTGGATATATTTGATGATCCTTACATTTATGGCTCATCTTGTTAGAGTATTTGCTTCTAAATATCGTACTGACGGCTCGAGTCTTACTTACCGTTGTCTCTATATTTTAGTGTTTTGATTATTATTTTTTTTTTTAATAACATAGTTTTTAAATGCTATTTTTTTTGTTAAATTCCAAACTTATTTTGCATTTAACAATTACCAGAAAAATAAACAAACAGCCCCACCTATTTTTCTAAATGAGAATCGACCAGAAATGTATAAAAAAAAAATTTGAAAGCTATTTGTGAACCAGAAATGTGATTATCATGCAATTCACATTTTTGGGGAATTACTTTAAAAAAAAATATTATTGTGAAGTTAAAATAAATTCTGTTGATTTGGTAAAAAATGTTTTAAAAATAAATCGAAGAGGCAATTTTTGTATTTATTTGAGGAAAGTTGAAGTATTTTGAAATGACAAATAAAAATTATAGTCAACTGATCATTTGGAAATATTTATTTCATTTTATACCATTTTCCTCAGACAAAATCGTACATTGATAAATTTATAACGTTTTTTGTAAACAATCCTTAACATAATTATGCCGTTCATATACTAATTATAAAAATTAAAAGTTTTCGAAACCCATAAAAATGTATAGATCCTTCTACTTAACAGTTTTTCTTTTTTTTTGAATCTGGTAAAACTTGGAAATATTAAAATGTACAAATGGTAATTATGATAAGTATTTTTTTTTCATTGGCATTCAATATGGAAATTGATCTTGCTGTGCTTTTATAGTTATGTAATCCTTCATTTATTAATTAAGTTCCCACCCCCTAAAAATGTAAAATTGATGAAAGCCACATTATTATTTAGTAATATAAAAGTATTTGCATAACACAAGCAGGTCAACCTGAGTCGTCGCTCGAAATTTACAGGCCCCTGAAACTTTTCAGTTTTACCCCCATCCTTGCATTGAAAGATAATAACTTAGAAAATATCCACTTCACATCTTTAAGCCTCTAAAATATCAGATGCCCTTTCAGTCGTAGCGATTGCTGGGCGCATGTGATGATTCTGAGGTTAAGTGACACCTACATTTTTTAATTAGTAATTCGCCCACTTCTCTTCAAATAACTGTAGAATGTTGCAAAACAAAATTCAGAAATGAGCTAAAATACTTTCTTGTATTTTTAATATTCCCGACTGTCTTCACCATCCTCCATTTCTGCAACCCCTTCCGTCAAGCTGATCAGTGTTTTAGTATGGGGTTTGAACTAAGCTAGTACCAAATTAGGAAACCACCCCCCCATCCCGAGTGAATTCAGTTTATGTATGGCACTGCGCGCCATAATGCATCCCCCAAACTCCAAAAAATTTAATTTCCCCTACAAAAACGTCTAAAAGAATATTTGATCTCTAGTATACTCCAAAATATACCTCTTGATTTTCTAAGAATTTAACAAAATGTCCTTGGAGGTGCTTAAGATTCACTTTCCACCCTAATTCCCGATGAAAACTATCGCTAATTTTGGTGCCGATAGATACACTGCTTAGTGGCGTAGCTGGTACAAATGCCGGGGGGGGGGCGGGCAGTCTAATGTATTTTCCGCTCTTCCTTTTACGATACAAATTCTAAAATTGCCCGAAAATGCCACACCCGCATATAACCCATCCACCCCCTTTCCAAGCCATTAACAGCGGTGTAGATCGAGTGTTTGGCGTAAGGGCGCAAGATTCATTTTTACGCCTCCCCGCAATTTTAAAACAAATTATTTTCAACCATTAATTATCACCAAAGCCCATTTTGCGCTGAGACACTGCTAGCATCATATTGCGCTTACGGTTGGTGACACAATTGAAGCGGAGTTCTGAGTTTAGTTACAATACTTGAATTCATTTTTAAGAACTTAACAACACTGATTTATTTCTTGTCCTTCAGTATACCGGCTCTTCAGCCACGGGGACCAGAAGTACAAGATGATTCAATCTTACTATTGTACACTGAAAGAAAATATCAGAGCAGAGGAATTCACCGACGAAATGCACCAAGAAGGAATATTATCACTTGAAGAGAAACAAGACATAGATCAAATGCACGGTATTAACAAAAGAAAGGAAGCCCTTTTCGATGCAATTGACAAATATCGAAATAATGGCTCTGTTGATGTTTTCTTGAAAATATTAGAAAAAAAATATCCAACACTTCATGAATCTTGGAAATGTATCCATGGAGATGGTTATGATTCCATTACTGCCCGTAAGTATCAGATATAAAACATCTTTTACAAAAATATATTGTGTATTTTAATTATTTAAAGCAATTGGCATTAATTTGTTTTAATGAGTCAAAGACTCACTCCAACATGATTTTAATATTAGTGTGTTTTTTGGTGTTTTTTTTTTTACCAGTAACTGATTTTAATGATATCGTCTTTCATCAATTTAGCACTCATTTTGTAGCTATATAACCTTTTTAATGTATTGAATCTTTTAATATTTACTTATCTTATGATTATTTACAGCTGTCACCGTAGAAAAACAGTTACAGCCTTTTGCCATGGGTGGAATAGAACTAATACAAGAAACTAATTAAGTTGTTCAATTTTAAACTGTTATCTGTTAAAGTTCAGCACTTTCGCATTACTCAGTATAGTAAGGCTTACCTGTACACAGCCAGGGAAAGGATGGCGATGCTCTTCCAAACCTCTAAAATAAAAAATAAAAGAAGAGTAAAAGAAAAGGTCGAAAATAAAACTTTATAACTGTTCAAATAAGGATTTTGCCTGTTCGCAAAATACAAACGTTTTAAAAAAAAATTAACAACTTTGCAGAAAATAATGTTTTTAATTTAAAAAAAAATACTTAAAATATACTTACTTCAGGGTTATCATGAAGCAATCAGCCTAAGTAATGTTCCCCAAATGTAGGTCACTAAATATACATCAATTACGACTGAAGCCAGTTTGTATCTAACATCTATCTCCTTTCCCCTTATATTATAATTATGCAGCAGGCCTGCACAACAAAAGACCCACCGGTCGCAGCATGAGACTCGCAAGCATTCACTCTGCGGCACCCATAAGCATTTTCTGAGAATACGGTACAAAAAGTTACCAAATAATATTCCCTAATTTTTTTTGATTATATTATCATGACAGTTTTATGTAAATATAAAAGTATAAATATCATCTTTTATATTGACCTAAATTTGAAAGCTGAACATTATTTTTTATGTTAGAAAAAAAAAAGCACTCGTATTTGAGTTACGCTCATTTTGAAGATATCTTAAGAAGAGCTATCGGGTTCTTCAAATTTGTTTCCTGAATAAAGTTGAGACCGAAAATCAAAAACGATGTGAAATGTTTTATTTATTCTATTTAAGGATAAACAAAATTTAATAGTATTTATATTTATTATTTCATCGCGAAGTCTCACACCAAAACTAAATACTTGCGTTCCACTGCATTTTTTCACGATTTTAATGTCTCTTATCTATACTGCCGAGATCTATAATCATTTTAAAATATCAATTTTACGAACGAGATCGGAAGGTTCATTTACGAGATTTCGTATAAAACCGGCAAAAAACTATATTTTTTTAATGAAATGATTGACTGTGGCAAAAAAAAAAGTTTAGCTTTATTTTTGTACATTGGCCATTTTCAACCATGCTGAATAGGCAAGTAAACGTGCTTTCCAAAGTAACTTTAAGGACACAAACATCACTTCTTGTTGCGCAGGTAATTATCTCTCGTCTCTTGCTACGGTATGTGCCAGCATATGAGAAATTATCTTGACCTGCGATCGACGCTTCTCTGACACGTTTCAATGCCTTTTCGAGTTTTGAGAGCTTTTTCTTATTTGATTCCTGTTAAAATGAACATATTGAAGTCGTTAGCAGTAAGATCGTCATTGGGCTCAACCTGATTTGCATTTGCCGTCTTCTTCCTCGGCGGTTTTTGATTAATGCAAGTCATCTTGATCTGGGATCATCTAAATAATCATTATTTTGTGGATGCTTTTCATTTAAGACTTTCAAGACTTCTGAAAATTCTTCTTTATCACTTTCATTGTCATTGTTAAAGAATTTCTTTCACCATTTTTTACAACGTATTTTGGATATTCTTGCTTCTCATCAAGAGCGCATGGATTGTTTTTGATTTTTAAAAATCTAGTTAAATTTCATTTTGATTTTTTTTTCTCTTCATGGAATCTCGTTTTGACGAGATCGAAATTACGAGACTCAAAAAATGGTTCGAGATATACGAGACGAGATGAGCGAGACCTGGAAGAATACCTTGATCACATTATATACAAATATTATACGAAATGCTAAACTCGACACTAATTACAGTTTCGGAGAATATATTCTCCAGTCGTAAAGAAAACTTGATAACCAGTAAGATAACGATATCTCCTTGTAAATTCAAAAACAAAATTGTTTCAAATATGTATTGTGCAGTGCATGCTTTTCTTTGACTTCTATATAACTGAGTCAGTGTGAGCCGATTGAAGAGGTTTGCCACCTATTCTTAAATGTACTGAAAGCCCATTAAACTTAGTTCTAAAATGTAGAATATTGAAACAAATCTGCTGGTACCTAAATTTTCAAGCTGAATTTGAATCAGTGCTGAATTTATGACTTTAGAAGACCCTTTGGAGGGAATAGCTAGTTATTCGCTTTTCATTAATATTGTGTGTAGTGAACCCTTCAAGTAAGCTTTGAGACTGTTGAGAACCCTGGCTATCTCTTACAAAATTGCAAAACTTCTAAGTTTTCGATGATATAGTATTCAATTATAATGAATATCATGATCTCTGAACTGAGGCACAATTATGGCATTAAGCAACAAAGTTCTCGTTGCGCCAACATATCAGTTAGTAAATTTAACTTTCAAGATAAATATCTTAATGCTATTCTCAGTAGGTCTCATTACCTAAAGCCAGCAAAAACTTATTAACTTGATAACGTGATAACCTGAACACATTAAAATGTGATATAATGATTCTAGACTATCTTATATAAATATATTTGTGGACTTTTGACAGATATCTGGCTCATGATGTCTTGACAACAGTGAATATATTTGTTCAAGTCGATTCTTTTCAATTTGTACAGTTAGACCTTAAATTATATCTTGTTTTCTATATCAATATCATATAAGGAATGTTATTGCAAATAAAATGACATTTTTTTTTTAATTCATAAGTTTAGTCAATAATTATCTCAAAGTGGCAAAAAATTCATTTTAAAAATTAATGATAAATGCTATTTACACATTTAGATGTATTTATTGTTAAAATTGTTTAAAACTCTATAAAAGTGTCTCCCATAATCAATTATTATATATCATATAATCTAACTACCCTTATGTGAATCTAATAATCTTTGGGATTATTTTTTTTTAAATTGCCTTCCATAAAAGATAAATGTATATCATCTGTTTATTTTTTTTGTCTAACCAATGTATTTAATGTAAGTTTGAAAAAAGTGCTTTATCAATAATAAATAAAGAAGAGCATTTTTATGTGTTATGGATTAATGATCAATAGCAAAATAAATAATAAATGTAAGCTTTGTTTTAGAGATAGGCAGGGTATGTGACCTAAACACAAAAAAGAGGGTATGGGTGAAGTTATCTCTTTTAAATTTTGCAGTAAAATGTTTTACTGACATCTCTTAACATAAAAAAAAATATGTAATGTTCAATTTTTAAAAAAAAAAACATTTTTTTTTCTTCAAAATTTGATGTATTTACCCAAAATAAATTATTTACACCCAATTTTTTAAAACAGTATTGACCATCCAATCATCTGCTGATTGAATTAAAAATTAATTTATTGTAAACATTTATAAAAAAGATGATTTTTTTAGACGCATCCTCACATACATTTTTACTTTAAAAAATAGTATACATAAAATATAAAGTATAAAATAAGAAGCTACAAGAGTATAAAACAAATAGAATTTTAAAAAAAAATGGTATAAATTATAACAAGATATTAAATACCCATTTCAGAAAATTATCAGGCAATTTAAAATCAATTTAGTGCAAAGATTAAAGCGAGTTTTGACATTTAGCAGCAAGAAAAAGACGACATAACTGGTACTCTAAGATGGAATTACCTAAAAAATAATAATGTGCAGGCTAAACAGCAAGCTCTTCGCAAAGGCATTTATTTTATTTTTCAGTTTTCCTTATATTTGACTCATATTGCTTTTACAACAAACAAAAAAAAACAATATTAAAAAATCTAAAACAGATTTAAACTTTCGTATTCTTATATTTAAAGAGAATTTATGACATCTATAAACTATAATAATAAACATTTTATTGTTGAAATTTAGAAAAGCTAACAACTTTTATTTCTGCATATTGATACCTAAATTCCAATTTGTTTTTGTTGTTGTTTTTTTTTTAAAGCTATTTCAATTGTTGTTTTGAAGGGTTCCCTTTCAACAAAATTGATCCTGTGACTTCAATTAAGTAATCAAGGGACGATTGAGTCGCTTTATCTATTAAAGTCTGCTCAATATCTTTATCAATGCAAAAATATCATTGTACTAGCATTAAATTTCCAACACTGATACAAATTATTAAAGTTGAGGAAATGTACAATTTATTTCATTACAAGAAGGAAAATATGAAAACCAGTAATACAAGAGTGTCCTTTGGAATTCAAATTTAATTATTGAGCAAAAAAGTAATGAGCCATTAAAAAAATTGATTTATACAATGATTGTCAAGACCTTTGACAATAATAATAGTCTTTGCCTTAATTACTTAACTCAAAACACTAGCACCCGTTCAGGATTAAAAAAAAAAATTATTCTGAAAACGTCCTATATTTTGTAAGTGTAATGATGGTAGGGATGTGTTTGAGATAGTAAATTATTTACCTTTAGCTAAATTAATTTTTATAATAATATTTAAATAAATTTAAAAAATATGACTTTGCAAAACAATAGCCATATCCATATACACATTAAATGCCAGTATAAGAGCAACTGTTCATTGTATGTGGCCTTAAAATCTGTTATGTACTTCACACTTGCAAAATTAAACTATAAGAATAAAAAAATACCGTATTTTAGAAAGGAAGATTGACAGTTTAATAGCCATAATGTACAAAAAAACAAAACAATTTTCTTTATATAGTGTATTTTACGCGTGACATAGACAACAACAACAAAAAAGACACTAAACATGGTTCACAACATAATTCATAGATATATTTTGGTGGTGACTATTCAGGGTAAAGAAGATAAGTTTAAGGTTGGGGAAATGAAATCAATAAATTATGTTGAGTGCTAGACAGGCGACACTTAGAAAATGGGATGTCAGGAATGCTGTGGCCAGGCGAACAAATAGGTTTGAAACCCAAGTGGCATAAGTTGGAATCACTGGTACTTTGCAAGAATGTAGTTTTAAGCATAAGTGGAGAAGAACACAGTAAAAATGCAGCATCCGAATTACATCCTTAAATGAGTAAGTGTGCATGCAGTTTAAGAATAAAAAAGCTATGTTTGAGGAGTGACTGCGCCCGACATAGCGTTCCACAGATTTGCATTTAAAGATATCATGAACTGTCTAAGGTAAAGTGTATACTTTTTCTTTTAGGTTTTTGTTCTACATTTAGACGTACCTTTATGGTTTTTAAAACTTTAATCTGCTTTAAGATTTTGCTCGTAGAAGGGACACTATATAAAAAAACAAGCACTGAGAAAACGGTATGCAAATAAAAGAATACCAAAGTTAGTGATACTTAACAATATTCCATTTATTTACAATATTACATTTCTATAAAATTAAAATTTAAATACAGTAATAAAAAAACTATTTCAATTTACTGCACAGCAAGTGAAAAGATACACTACTCAAAATATACAAATATTAATTTACACACAAAATCGTGATGTGTACAATAATGCAATTATGTAACGTCTCGTACATGTCAGGAAATATAGCTAATATCTCTCTCTCTCACCTAGGAAAACTGCCGGGATGTATTAAAGAGATTAAATCAGAAAGATCTAGCAAAGAAATCGTAGAAATTGAGTCACCTAATTAACATTCTTTAGAACACATAGAATGCATTCAAATGCGAACCCCATGTTCCCACAGCACTCTTAACATAAATTCTTTTGAGTTAGATTCATTTTTATAACATGAAATCTATGGATCGTATATTGACTTGTTAAATGTCTCTTCCGACAGGTGTCTGCTGGACATTTTTTTCTGTTCAATGTGGCAAATACTTACTTCTCTAATCGTCAAACTGTTTGCAGTATTGCGAAATGTGGAAACAGTTGGCCAAGTTTTACAGTATTGAACAATTTTTATTGCCCTATTACAGAATCATCTAGAGCAGTGTTTCCCAAAATGTTTACCCCGTCTCAGTGTTCTTGTCCTCTTCAAATATTTTTGTGGTTGTCGCGAATATTTCAACTTCGATGCCCACTTAGGTTAAGAATTATAATTAATTAAAAAAATATGTTGCCATAAATTCCAACAATAAAAATAAAAAAAAAATATCTAAAATGTGTTCTGTAAACTGATGTCAATAAATGTTTAAAAATTGATGTGTACATGCACTTACTTACAATTACATATCCTAACTCTTGCCCCCAAAATAATCGTCAGTTTTTCCCCTGTAGTCGTACACTTTGTTTTGTTAAAAACTACTCTATAGTTATATTTTTACGTCTTCATTTATTTTGAAAAATTAAACACAAAATAACTAATTTTTATCTCCAAATGTTTTGGCCTTCAAATATTTTTAAAAATGTTGCTCGTTTTTGGCCTAAGACAAAAAATATTATAGTGTAACAAAAATTCAATGTTTACTTTACCAGACAATAGATACCCAATAACTTAATTCTTATTAATAAAATTCCTAACGTAAATAGCTACAAGAACACTGAACAGCAGCAACACCTTACATGATAAAAGCAAATGAAACAACATGAAAAATATGAACACTATAAATAAAGAAAAATAATCCTAAGGAAACCAAAGACAAAAAGTAACATGGGCAGTAATAACAACTTAGAAATAACAAATAACTCGGTAATAAAAGCGTCGGAAAAAAAAATTGGCCCCTCTTCCGAGAAAGCGTGGTGTCATTGAATAGAAAATATCAACCATCGAAGAAAGACATGACATGTATGTCATAGGCAACGAGTCTATGTGCCAAGTTTCTGCTCGATAGGCCGATAGGTGGATGTGATGTTGATCACGTATTAGCTGTCCGAAAATTTTGTCTTCCTGCCAGCCTCCCACGAAACTATAATAAAAAGGATTTTAAAAAAAACAACAAGTAATTCTTTTTATTTCTCTATAAACAAGTATTGTCTTTGCTTAAGCAGAATCCAATTACTCTGCATATTCTTTATAGCGGTTGTAAGCAAGAAGCATATACTTTAAGGCAGTAAACGCAAATCAAGGCTATAAAAGGTACCACAGGATAAGCAGACAAGAATTTTTTTGCGTTTTTAGCGATCACAGTTGAAGAATTGCACGTGGCGCACCGTTTTCACGCATGTTCCGTTGTTATGTCGTAAAGTTGCAAATAGGCGCCACCTGGTTGTCTAATTAATTTTCACACTGCCGTTCTATAAAGTAGTATTAAAATACCCGAACATATTAGTGCGTCAGACAGTGTGAGTTAATTTCAAGATTTTTTTTGGGAGAGATTTCCTTGACTAAGATGAAAACGTTACTGACTGTCATGATCTTAGTATCAATATCTCATGCGCTTCTCATTTGGGTAATTGTTTATATGTCTTTCAGATATCACAGCCAGATTTAAAATAAAATGCTTTATCGGTTAGCACTTGTAGTAGTTTACTGTTGTAAATAAGAAAATTTTTGCTTTAATCTTAAAATAAATATGCAGTATATTTTATTTTATTTTTTAATAGAAAAAAAGATTTTATTCAACTGTCTTTGAACTGTTTAAAATTCTTTTATTCGGCTTTTTTAAAACATTTTTTTTGACGAGACATAATAAATAATCATATTCTTCGTACTGACTTAATTTAGTTCAGCTTAACGTTAAATCGTAATAGACCTGAGTTGTAAATTGTACAGCTAACACATCAAGCTTTCCTATCTATAAAATGTTTTCCATCAATCACAATGTTAAATAACCAAGGTGATATACGCAGTTCACATACATGAGTACTTAGGTGTTTTTTAATGAGTCATATTTGAATACGGAACGCTTGTCCATTATATGTGTTGTGGTCCTAAAGTTATTTAAGCTTTTCCATGCTTTGCGCTTTCTTTGGTCGCGATTTGAAAGCTCACTTTCTAAAACAGGTATCACAACAATTAGTCTGCTTCACCAGCTAGTGCGATTCAAATCGATTTTTTTGCTATTAGCTCCGGTCGATGTCAATGGATTTGAGGAGCAATTTTTGAGGAGCAGTTTTATGTCCAACCAGGTGTTGAAATTTGACCGTAAATTACTTACGGTAGAAATGAATAATGCTTTCTCGCCACATATCAACCCATTTCATTTTTCTTTTGATAAGAGCCTGGTGATGTTCAGAAAGTAAGCACATTGTAGGACTTTCATATCAGGCACTTTGTGCTGCCAAAGTATTACAAAATGCTTAAAGAAAAACAGCTGATGTCGAGCTTATTTAGTTTTCTAGCATGTCTTCTGTACACATCACATGAATCGCTTGCATGTAGGAGATTAATATATACAATCGACTTATGTAAATTCAGCATTGTTATAAGACATAGACCCAACATAATATTAACCAAGCTATTACATTCCTTGTCAGAGTGGCTCGAAAAGGTTCATCAATTGGAGGATTGACCGGCAGGCTGACAGAAAAGAACAAGACACTGACCTGTCCAATGAAGTTTATGACGTCATTACGGACACGCTGACAAAAGCAAGGGAGGGTAATAATAAGGCTGAACTAATTTCAATTTGTTAAAATCTTAACTTTAGCTTTATTTGGTTAGGCAATGTTTTACAAATGCTTTATGAAGAAACAGAAACATTGCTACAATGGTTTCGATTTAAAAATAAAAAGCAAACTATTAAAAATTTAGGGGGTGCTTAAAATATGATATATATGTGCTCTTATTGACCTACAGGTATGAATGCAACAGATCTTTTCACAGCGTCTGAAACAGTTTCTTCTCTAGCTGATGCTCACAGGAAGGAAGGTAATCAGCTCTAGGAAATGAGTTCACAAACCGTGTATTTCCATTTATCTATTTCAAATTCGTCTGACTTTGGGTCTTTCTTTAACATGATACATTCTTTATTTAATGGACTTTAGAAAAAAGTAACGTTAAAACTAAACGTATATATTTTTTTTTAAATAGGTAAGCTATTTTCTATCAACATATCAATTCTCCCGCCATCCCCCATTTCCCCGCTAAAATCTTGACCACAGTTCCAGCTGAAGAGATTGATGACCTCATTAAAAAGATATCCACATGATTCGATGGTGCCAAGACTGTGTCTGCCTTATTCGATGGTAGTTTTCATTTTTTTAAATATCTTCATATTAAATTTATAAAACATAATTTCGTCACGAAATAACGAAAAGGAAAGATCTTTATGTGTGTTATTCCATTTTAAGATACACATGATTCCTAATTTACATAGCTCATATAAGAAAAAAAGAAAGGAATAAAGGGCCACTCGCAACGAAAGGAATGGTTTTAAAAGTTTTTACCCCCCCTCCAGTAATCCCTCTCGATAAAGATGGATATATGTGTCATGTTTAATCAATATCCTCCAGTCCATGTTAATACGTATACGGAACAAACAAACTCATTAGTTTAAACTTTTATACATATTTATGATATGACATAATGATTAACTTCACATATTTACATTCCGCATAGAATTACACATTTTAACATTTTAGAATAAATAGTTTTAAAACAATTACTTTTTGCATAAAGGAATGAAATTTACTCATTATATTTTCATATTATGCATACATTTTTTCGATGTTTAAATCCATACCTTTGTTCAGACATTGTAAGGCGTGGACAGAGTCTTGAAGCACTGCTTACAATTTTTATCTGCCATCAGTTGTTAAGAATAAGTAAGAAATAATTTCTTTTTAGATTTTAACTTTTCTTTATCAATGACTGTTAAGATCCTCTGAACTTTGAGAAGAGTAAGTTGGACTCTGCCTTAATCCTGTGGGGTGGACTTGTGCAGAAAGGGAAACTACTCATTGGTGAGTTACAATTGTTGCCTCTATGGAGGTTAACATCTAGTATAGCTATTCTGGACGGAACTGAACTATTATATTGCACTATGCTTGGTGAATTTTGTTACATATTTTAAAAATAAGTTTGTAACAGAAATGTTCTTTGCCTGTTCTTAGCACAAAAAGAAATTATTCAATTAAATTTGTGACGATTATTTTGTTTTGTGATCGCGTGGCATGCACGATAATGAAATCAATCCAAATATTTATTTATGTTTAAAAATTATCATACATTTTAAAGATTGCGAAACTCAAACTAAATAAAAAAGATACGATAATATTGGTTTTTTTATTGATCCAAATAAATAGATTTTTAAAAAAATTACATTGCAAACATTCATTTTCAGCTGATAAATAAATATACATTTAACCAAGACAATCTTTTTTTAAAATTATAACAATTTAAAAAGTAGATATCTAAAGTATTTCTCTAGCCTAGAAATCAGCCATCAGCCATACGGTGCTGGGGGCCGAGCGGTCTATCAATCCAATTAGCTGGTGGTCTGAAGGGCAATCCGCAGCAAAGCCAAGACCAGCAACAACAACAACAAAAACAACATCCCAAGCACCCCCGGTGGATGAGACTCCCAACCCTTGGACGGCAACACATCTTTTTAAAGACAAACTCTGAGTTCAAACCAGTGGCCAGAGTGACCAATAAATGGATTGTGGGCCCTCAAATATAGAAACAAATAATAACTCCTCCACAGACAATTAAGACTTCTAATTTAGGGATCATTTAGATTTGACTTATTATTTTTCTTTAGGTTTTTTCATATTAAATTTAGCTCATATTTTCAACAACTATTTTGTAACGTCAAAGAAGTATGTTATTTAAACTTAATATTAACTAAAAATATGTATAAAACGCTTCCTTTTTAGTTACCAGTAGGTGGATGTGGACATGATGTGCTCAAAATATTACGATTTTAAATACCTTAGTACTTTTACATTACAATAATAGCATTCTTAAATTTACAGTGAATATTCGTAATTCTCCTAATCTAAATTATTATCTCAGATTAAGTTTGTCTTCCATTCTAATGTTATGATTTCATAATCTTTACCGGATCTTAGGACGAAAATATTTCCCGATGTAAAATTTTACAACAGTTTATTTAAAAGGACACTTGATTGAACGGATATTTTGAATGGACGTTTGTTCGAATTGGTAAATTACTATTCAGCACCTTCCCTTAAAAGAGAGTTTTAAAATGAATATAAAGAGCTCTCCGTTTCACAAATGAAATTAAAAAGAAACCAGTAAGAAAAATGAACGTTCGGAACAAAAATAATTATGTTAGAAATAAATTTCACTTTCAATAAATTTTCAAAGAAAAATTTCCCCTTCAAACACACAACTGTCGTACATATTTCAAGATAAGGTTAACAATAATCTATTTGTATGTTCTAACTACTACAGCTGAAGGCAAACCAGATGACGGTGTACTAGGAGCTATCTCTAAGACAGCCAAGGCAATCTCGACGATAATAAAGGACATAGGTATGTGATATCAAAGTATGAAAACATTGTAGTCAAAATATCACATGTTCATTGTATTTTTGTTCAGAAGTCAATTGCCTTTGGTGTCATATGCATTAAATTTAATTTAGTCTATTGAACTTTATTAAATAATAATAATGTAACAATAAAACTACCTATTTCAATATATGCATATATATCATATATATATATATATATATATATATATATATATCAAAACAAAAAATATTAGTGTCTAATAATGTTATACTGAAACATGCTTATCGTCAACAGGTGAAATTATAACTTATGTTGAACGTTTTCCGCAAAGAGGTAAACAAGTTATATTTTTAAAAAATATTTGAAAGAAAATTAATTATATTGTTTAAGGAAATAAACTATTTTTAAATCCTTTATATTCTCTTCGCTTTTTTCCTTGGAGGCTGGCTGACTGGCTGACTGGGTTTAGAAATTTTCGGATGGCTAATTGACCCACTTCCCGTCACGTTTACGAGCTAAAACTGAGCCCACAGACTTTTTTCCTTCAAATTTTCAACCCCATCCCCAAAAATCAGTTTTTCCGTTTTTTGAAGGGGACGATAAAATAAAATTCCCAATACCTGTGCAAAATGAGATTCTTATAAAAAATAAAAAAAAAATATCGCATTTACGTTCAGTGTGTAATATTTTCTTTTTTTTTTTATCTGAAACATTTGGTGAAATAAATTTGCGGTGTAAAAGTGGGTAGGTCATTAGAATATTAAAATTGTTGAGGATCGTAAAAATAATGTTTTGGTTCGAATCATGGGGGATTGGAAGGGGGGGGGGTGTGGCTAATTGGGATTGTTGCCAATTGCGTTACTTAAATGCATTTTGTTTTCAAAATTTTTGCCCAGCACCCTCCTTCCCACATTGCTCCATATTACATTTTATCAAGGCATTTTACGAGAAACGTTCATTATAAGGGCTGTTTAATTTTGGTGTCATTTTGTACATTTATTATAATAAATGTGTGCACTGGGGATTTATTTGTAACTTTTCTTTTTTTAATTTCTAATCATAGAGTGTTGACTCAGCGGGGTTATAATGTATAGTGTATAACATGCTTCGAGTAAAACATTTAAGATCAGAAAGAGTTGTATAACTCAATAGAGATCAACGTGCAAATAAGTATAAATGTGATCTTAGCTTGTCTCCCCGACCTATACATTTTATGATGATAAATGTAACTAAAAATCGGATGATACTACAGGTTTAAAAATTTTGGTTTTTACATGTTTCGTACACCTCGCATTGTGGGAATATCTTTATATCTCCCCACCACCCAAAAATAAATGTAAGGGATGAAGAAAAATGTTGGTGGTATTTTGTAAGAAAAAAGACAACAACAATTTCTCAAACTTAAATCTCGTTTTTAAAAAAAAATGAAAGTTGTAAAAAATATTGCTATTTAATAAGAAGAAAATACGTGGTTAAGCCCCCCCCCCCAAGCGTAACAAATTATATAAAATAAAATATTATTATATGTAAATTATGAATAAAATAATTTAAAACAAAATTTAAGTTAATGTGAATTGAAAATGAGTTTGGTACATTATTTATGGTACCGGTAACTTTAAATTAAATTTAGGATGTGGCATATTTGGGCAGAGAGAACTTTTGGATTTAGTTTATCCCCAGGCTCCATCATAAGCGATAATTTTTAAAGAAAGCAGGCTGCTGTTAGCGTAACAAGCTTTAAAGCTTTAAGTATTTTGCAAGACTGGTTGTTAAATTTCTGGTATTTTCGTAATTTTTTTTTAAAATTTAAAAAAGCAAAGTAATAAACAATCAAAACTGTTAAGGGCATTTACTTCGTTTCTATATGCAAAGAATTGTTTTATTTTGTGGTCTTTAAACTGAACCGTTAGATATAATTCCCTTGTATTATATTGACATGCAGGAAACATTGCTCGGAACTATAGAGGTTAAGAGAATGGGACATTTCAGCATAATTTGATAAATTATGCAGCTATTCTAGCATCATTAATTAATTTTTTTTTAATTATGAAAAGGCATTTAATTCATTAAGCTTTTCAATACAGATTTAACATTTTAACAAAACGATCACACTGACAAAGAAATGAAATTATTTTAGGCGCTAATTAAGATTATTTATAATTTATACATTATTTAGGATCAATACGATCCATAACGTATTTTTGTTGATGTATAATTTTTAGATTTAAGTTAAATTATTAAGAGTTTTAAGCTACCGATCCTTTTTTTTTAAACCCAAAAATTAAAAATTTCTATGTTTTAAATGTTTTATGTAAATGGCTTATTAATTTGAAGTTGTCAGACATAATTCTAATATTTAAAAAATATAAATTATATTATTAATTTTTTATAATAAAATTTCCGAAAATTCGTTCATGACAAAATTTATAAAAATTTCAACCGACAAATGAAACATATAAATACCATTTTTTGATTAAATGCAGACTAATTTGTTTTAGAAATATGTGTATTCTCCTAAGCCTAAGAGGAGATGATGTAAAGACAAAAAGAGACCAAATTCGGAAACAGGAAATAAGATATTTTTTTGGTTCCATCTCAATCAGCAAGTTTAAGAGTCAACAAACTATTGTTTTGGCTTCCTGTTCAGAATGCCTGTCCACCAGTCTGGATTGCAATTTTACAATAGTGGCTTTTTCTGTTTTTGGGCTACAGGAAGACGAGGCCGTTGGTTTACTGACTTTGTTAGGTATACCCCAAAAATGCACACAATGAAGCTCCAGCAGTACTCACACTTGCGGTAATCCATTGACTAGACATCCCTTAGACACCTCCCGAACGCCAAATACCTAATTATATTTTTTTTCCAAACAGTTTAACACTTTTTGTTTTCCTTTTCTTTAAGGACATCAAACCACACTTTTCACAAAGACGTCGTAATCATATGTTAATACCCTTTAGTCTTCTTTAGATGCGGCGATTTCACTCATGAAAAGAATTTTTGTATACGATTCATCTTATTCATTTCACATAGTTTCTCGCTAGTTACACCATCTCGTTTTCAGAAATAACAAACCATCTAATAATTTTAATAACTTTTTTTTGCAACGACGCTACATTAAATCATAACGCATACATATGTACGTGTTTCCTTCTTATGTTGGTAACCTAAAGACATACATGAACAGACTTGTCGAAACACTTGATAAAAATTCTCATGAAACATTTTATGTATATGTTTTAATGATTTGATTATTAATAAAATACTTTTCAAGATCTATGTGAAAATTGCTTTCGCCGATTTTGAGATATTTTTTTCTATTTGTGCTTAGTTCATTCTAATATTAAAATGTTTCAAGGAGATTTGCCAACTTAGTGAAAAAAAATATTTTTAAATAGTAGACAATCCATTTAAATTATTTTTTAGTACTGAAAATGTAAGAATCCTTTCCCTCAATTTGCATAAAAGACAAAGCACTGGAACTTCTGATCGTATCGCCTCGTCGCTACGTTATACATATGTCATAAAGTTAATTAGAAATCAAGGTGACCGATTTCATTGATAAATATAATACCAAAAAAACGTTCACTACTTTCTAGTGGACATGTTGAAAAAAACTGCTGAAGTCAAAATTTTCTAGTGCGTTTTATAAAAGAAGATTAGGTTCATTCAATTATATGAATAGAGTCGAAAAAATGATGAGCTAAATTTTTGCATAGTTGTGTTCTCATAAAAGATGTATTTTAAGCGCTCCGATCTAATCTCAGAATCATGATGAAAACAAAAACCATCAAAAGGAATTAGAAACATCAACCATCCCAAAAAACGCTTGTTTCCCCTGTCTATAATGTCCCTCTAACCAACTCATACAAAAAAAAAATACTGAAAGATTTGATTATAGTTTGGATTACAGTGGCTTAATAATTAATTAATACCTGCGTTTTTATTTTAATCTTTCCAAAACATTTTATACGAAGTGAAAGAGAAGACACATTTTTAAAAATGACTATTTTATTAAAAATACCTATGAATAGAAAAGTCAACAATACATAGAACATAAAAGAAGGTATTTTGTAATGTATCTAAAGCTATATCTTAATATATTTAAACAGATATATATATATTACATGTAAGACATTGTTTTTAAATCAAGTTAGTTTTATTGTATAACCTCTAAGACAAAAAACCCCCATCTCAACATCATTTTTTTCTGCAATGAAAATTTATAAGTTAACTATACGAAAAAAAGATGCAGACATTTGAAAAAAGCATTAGAAACTTGGAAGAATGATGTTATAATATTTTTAGAATAATTGTTCCTTGCACGCAAATGATATCAGTTTAAATTTACAATAAAATGTTACAACACACATAATGTCTGACATAGTGCAAAATGGTAAATTTTCTTTGTTGTGGATTTAAGGGTCAAGAATGTGCACTATCTTGTAAGGAAACAAACACATTTTCAATTTGATAACCCTCTTACTTTAACATGTGGATAATTTTAAAGAAATTAATAGAGCATTCTGTTTTTAAGCTTAGGCTTTTCTTTTGTTACGTCATCTCGGCCAGTTTCTTACTGAAACACTCCGATTACCATGGGTAGCACGTGGGTCATGACAGTTGGGTCACCATACCGAGGATCCATGCTGTCTTGTCTCCTTTTACATTGCTGTATTCCTTTTCCAAGCCATGGTCTCTATTTATCAACGCGAATTAGGAACTTTATATCTGCTGCCTCTCCTCTTCATTCTTCTCTCTCTCTCTCCTCCTCCATCAAGGCGATCCACTAATTGAGTTCTTTCTCTTCTCCTCGTCCAAAGCTCTTTGTATCGCTTCTCTTTCAACTCTGAGTCTCTCGTTTTCCTGCTTCTGTTTTTCTTGGGACTGTCTCATCTCAATGGCTCTATGGGCACTGGTCAATTGGTCCGTCACATTGGTTTTGACGTTTTCTACATTTCTAATGACAGAATTCAAAGCCCCGGTACCTATATCATCATTTATTATACTGGCACGGAGAGCCTCTATGCGATCTATCATATCTTCTAACTGTCGGATCTGTTTTATTGGATCTTCAAGCTGGACCTGGTTCAGCTGTCGGAAAATCAAACCAATCTCAATAAACACATCGTGTAGTTTTTTAGACTCTTTTAGAAGTCGGTCTCGCTGCTTTTTTGACATCTGAAATTGTTTTCCACTGTACCTCAAGCCACCAGCACTCAGAGCATCGACCAGATTAATCAAACGGTTGTGTTGGTCGCTTAACTTAACCTCATCTTTGGTTATGTTATCAAACAACACAAACCGCTTGTTACATTCTTTGAACAAAACATTTAAATAGCCTTTCTGAGCATCAGAGCAATCTTCAAAAATTCCACAACCCGTTTCTGCATGTTCGAGGTCATACATATCTCCACATGTCATGAGTAGGATACAATATTTTCTTAAGAAATCGTCACCGCAGACCTCTTTGAGTAGATTTAAGATCTTGATGTCCTCTTTTGTAAACCTACAGTCAAATCTGACAACTAGAAGAATCGCGTGGTATCCATCAGGGTTCATTTCCATTGCCTGATTTACCGTATCTATCATCAAATTGATGGCACCTTCTCTGTTCATGACAGCATCTGTGATAGCCGATGTATCGACAACTTTAATGCCTCGACCCTGAACTTCTGAGTATCCCAACTGTATACTGTTTGGCAAGGAGGTAGAGGCGGACCGAGCCTTGAAGACCCTTTTTCGCAGGATTGTGTTTCCAGTTGCACTTTTGCCAACTCCAACTTTGCCAATCAGAAGTAAACTAATATCATCTCGTGAAATAGTAGCTGAAGACTTTCTGTTTAATAGATAAAAATGGATCTGTTTTAAAAAGTGAAATGTTTGATATCTCGAATTACATGTATTGCAAATGAATAAAGAAGTGTATTATTGCCATATATAAAAAAATATGTAATTAAGAAGGAGCAAGACTGACCATATAATTCTAGAGAAACGATGCATATTTATATAAGTTCGAATTCTTAAAAACAATAACTGATGTCAATTATTTTAAGAAAATCGAAACAATTTCAATGCGCAAAAAATAAATAAACATCGGTTGTTTTTGTGTTTCTTAATGCGTTGTTAATATTGCAAAATTTAGTTTAAACCTCCAATCTAAATGTATTTGAAAAATATGAAAATAAAATGCTCGATTGCAGTCAAATAAGTGCGAAAACAAACGTGGATTAAATTTATCTTTTAAAAGTAAAATGTATTTTTATGAGATTAATAACTATCTTTATTAAAAAAAAAGACATTAAAGAAAGTTATTTAGGTGAAAAACGGTTTAAATAATCCTTTTCAGATAAAAAATGCATTCATCTTTTACGATATTACGATAACATAGTAAAAAAAAAATAAAGGCAAAAGTTTGTTTAAAATTTTTAATAAAGATATCACTATATCAAAATCCGTTAATAAAAATTGTATCTATAAAATTTTATTTTGAGCTTTTGCTGTAAATTAAAAATTACACTCTCGGTTGCCGGGGAAATAATCTCAGACACAAAACCACTCAACATCATGAGAGACAAAGCTATCATAACAACCGTAGAGCGTTACCATCGAATGGAAAGAATAGAACCCTGTTTCCAACTACATGACCGCTGGGAAAAGCGGACAAGGATTAAAAGACCCTCCTTTATAGATGCGGTCGATTCACTTCAGAATAAGCAACCTTTACCAGGAAACAGGTAGAAAATACGCCTGATCCAGGAGATATAATCCCAGGATAGCTGCGAACATATTGATGTACGTCTGACCCTGTCAAACTATGCATTTAACAAGTCGTGTCCCCAAAAGGAGCAAAAGGGGCTGCAATAGAGACGATTGAGGCCTACAAGGACAACGTGGTATTAATTTTCACAGACAGCCCCTATCTCGCAGGCGAGAAGCGGGCAGGCTACGATGCACTCATACAGTATCCAAAAAATGTATCTCCAACACAGGAGATTTCAGGCCCAAGAGGCACGAACAGCACTGCAGCAGAAGCAGAAATCGAAGCTACATTAATGGGCCTGAAGCAAGTGCGGCGTCGTCTAGCCAGACGCAAAACACTTCCATCCGTCGTAGTGTTCACCGATTCACAATGTGCTCTAGAAATTGTGAAGAGGTGCTCTTTGAACATGAAAATTGCCATTGAAATATTAGAGCTCGTACAAGACATACAGTCTCACGGACGCAAAATGACCCTTCAATGGATCCCAGGACATGCGGGGATCCAACCACAAGATAGAGCTGACTATCTTGAGAGACAAGAACCTTTACAACCTCAACCTAACCGACCAGCCAATGACCCAACTGTGGGTCAATGTCTGGATCAAGGACCTCTTCCTTGAGGATTGGATTAAAGAATGGGAACAGGGTACCTGTTATGTAGGATGTGTTTACGACATTTTCTCCGTGCCGTGAACTCTGGTTGACCCCAGATTGGACTGCTTTCATGTTGGGCGTGGCCTATTTTTTATCTTGCGTGTTTGCTGCCGCTGCCAAATGAAGATCGTTCTTATAGTATGTTGTGGAACGTTCCCAATTCAACGAGAAACGTAAACAAAGTCTAAATTTTTCTGGAAAGCGTCTTACGCTGCATATATAAGGGATGGACAGGGAAAGAGATTCACGGAGATTGATCGAGAGATTTGATTGATATATATTTCTCACTTCACGAGACAATTGTATTATTGTGTGTACTCATAAGTGTTGATTCGCATTCATCATTGTACTTTATTAATTAGCACATTGTACTAACTTTGTACCGGTACAGGACATTCCCATACTCAGTAAGTTGATGATTGTAATTATATTTCTTTTGTTTTGTAATTATATTAATATTTAGTACTTCATTATATTATTAATCGCAATTAGCACTGTTTTAAGTGTCGTATTTTTGCAATGGTTATGCTCTATGGTATCCTCCTTTTTTATTTTATTGTTTGAACGAGCGATAAAATTAAAATATGAGATTAAGCTCTCCCAATAGAAGGCAGTGATAGTACCACTGCCCGAAAACTTTACCAGAGCATGCTGAAAACAAACCAAAGGTCGATCAATGTTAGACCCTCAACACCCAAATGAGAACAAAGAATTGCCCTTCCCGTAGTTACATGAACAGGTTACACCCATTGCGGGACCTAAGCTGCCTTCATGGTGGACAAGCGCCGGAAACAGTAGAGCACTTTCTAGCCCAGTGCTCGACATTAACGACTGGTATGATTGGGGTGCTCCCAACCGACCAGATGAGGTGGGCCTGTACCATACTTGCCGGGGCCATTAAAGAGCAATACCTACGTCCTTTTCAGGGAATATAATATTTCAGTAAATATAAGCATGAGCTAGGGTATTCATATAACGTTAAAAAATGAAAAGCTTTAATAATTTTTAGGCCATTTGGAAATCGTGATAATGAATATCTATTATTTTAAGGAAATCAAAAAAAAAAAATTTAAAGATGCTAAAAATAAAATATACATGCGTAAATAAAGGTAAATTTTATTTTTAGCACACAGTTTAGGAGCGAGGAAAAAGTGTGAGCACATTTTATGAGTATAAACCATAATATGTTAATATTAAAAAGGTGTAGTTAATAATTTTTAAAAAAATAGAATTCAATTTCGAAAGGGAGATAGTGGGAACATTTTTATATGGATAACAATATTCCAAAACCCAATCATTTGACACACATAAAAATCTAATTTTGTTTAAATTATAGACATATCTTTTTCTTTACAGTTCAGGGCTCTTTAAAAATAAAAGTATGGGTAAGATTTTCTGTTAAAAATGACAACATTTCTTTTATATCCACATTCCAAAAAGTAAAGTTCATTGAAATGTGGGTGTAAATTTTAATGAGATAAATGATATGTCATAAAACGTAAGGATGTTACAGACGGGAAAATAAGTTATAGCATCTTTTTCTAGATAAGAGAGATATGTGATTTTCGATTTTCCGCTAATATGGTAGAAAAGTGAAGCTAAATTTTAGTGAAATTTCTAATGAATGTAACAAAATTTCAAATTATGTTTTAAATATATTTAAAAGGTTTTATAATTTTGGTTTCGTATTCGTACAAAAAATTAATGCTAAACATTCTTTATAAGAAAATTGTGTAAAGCTTAACAAAAAAAAAGCCCATCATACACTACTTTCTTTTCTTCGTTTTAATACAAAATATTTTTATTTTTTTTTTTGAATACGAAAATTACTTTGTTTTAAAACTTAGCATTTTTTCCCAATTTTCAACAGCTTTAACATCTATAATTTACAAGTAATCAAATATTAGTACATGCCAACTTTACTACAGTGTATAACTAATTTAGATTTATGCCTTCAAAATAAATATGTAAAAGTAATTTTTCGAGAAGAGTGTACTTTCAGAAATCTAGAAAATGATTTTCATTTGAGTAGTAAAAAAAACTAGTATTGTATATTGTAGTTAGTGCTTATGATATAAAAAAGAATCTAATTTTATTTCACAAGCTTTCATTTTTCTAATACTATGTGTCAAATTTTCCGTTGTCAAATATTCACGTGTCAAATATTCCGTCTAACCAATTCAGCCTATTTGTTTTGTACATTGTCTCTTACCTCATCACATATCTGATAGTGTAATTTCAATTTATCACAACATTGCGTAGTCATGTACACTGTACGAAAAATCCACTTGGTACACAAACGAATATATTACTTAATTACGTCCAGGAGAAAATTAGTACCAGTCAAAATGCCCCACCGTGACTCTGACCAAAAAACTCTCTCTCTCTCTCTGTCTCTAAAATTGTTAGGTCTCTTTCAACAACAAATACCCCGTTAACGTCCTTGACATGACAAGAGTTGACACTCGATCAACTGACCAACTTGTCAAAGTCACAACACACAACGCAACTCTGATTCCATATCCTTTACCCTATGTTTCATGCTAAAATATTGCACGTGTTCAAAATTCTAAAATCATTTCTAATAGGCGTTGATGTTGTAGTATCAGCAATTCGTATGTATACAGAGACACATTTAACATGCAAGGAACACAACTGTTTTTAGGCAGCTTAATTTGACAATGATATAATATGATTATTATTTAAGACACTGTGATTAATTATCAGTTAGTTTATTTTACCTGCAACCAGGCTCATTATTTTGAGTATTTGATAATCCTTGCCTCTGTGGATACGAGGCTGAAACAAAATTATACAAATTCTCTTAAAATGTATGATGTTTTTTGTGAATGAAAAAACACTCATAATTCTATTTTTACTCTTCGATGGATACATTTTTTCACAATGACTTATATGGATCCCAAAATTTTATTAATTTATAAATAGATTTAAGTGTTTCATTAATTTTCTCAACAGTCGACCGACGTATTGTAAAGCTAGATTTACTGTTAAAACATACAAATATGTAGAGGGTAGTCTTCGAAATACAATTCTACAAAAACAAAACAAAAAAAAGAATAAAAATAATCGCCTACACCTCAATCTGCGATATATAAATACATTTCCATTGCCAAAATAAAAAATATATTTTTGTTTCAGATATGAAAAATCATTGACTTCATCTTTTGCAGTATATTTTTAAAATGATTTCTTTAATCAGCCGAACATAAGAGAACGTGTTCCAGAAAGATAATTGTACATGAAAGGGACAGTGATTACTGTGATCATACTTTTCTCCACGGATTGCTCCACATTATGCAAACTAAATGTGCTCGCCATAACATAGGGTGACCAAATATCCCGTAAAAACGGGATTGTCCCGTTTTTTCACGATCGTACCCGTCGTCCCCGAGAAGTCTCTTGGGACGCCTAAATGTCCCGTTTTTTTAAAAACCAAACACATTTTCTAATGACTAAAACTTCCTAATTTATAATATAACTTCAAATAATATTTTTCCTAGCTGTGTAGCCATGGCCAGTAGTGATGTGGGCTCGCGGGATGGCTGCACTGTTCCCCCTCCACCACAGTGTCCCTGCCATAGATCTTATATGGGAGTGAATAGCGAAAGACACGAGACTAAAACATTTATTGAAGTTACAATTGGTACGTATTATTATCTTTATTAAAGTTTTAATTTTTAAAATTTTTAAAATATCATTTCTTTTCATAATTCAGCGTTGTTCTCATGTATTTCATTTCCCTTGAACAATTTTAAATTTCCTCTAAGCCCGTCGTGTTCAAGTAGAATTTCTTTAAAATTGATTTAAAATATGTTACATATCGCAAGATCTTCTTGTATTTTTATTTAATTTTTTTAAAAATGTAATGTTAAAATCGTTAGCATTTGGAGATGAAATAAAACCACGATGCTTATGACTATGAAAATTAAATTCTTCACTATTAATAATAATTATTCTTTCTTTTTTAAAAACTATGTTAAAAATAAATTCTTTGGTTTATGTATTCCAGGAGAAGCTTATAATGCAAACGTATACTTTCCGTTATTAGCATTCTTATATTAATAAACAATAGCAATTTTTAGTATAAAAATGACTTATAATTGCATGCTTTATTTGGTCAGCCCCTTTGGCTTGATTATTTTGAAATAAAATACATTTATTATAAAATAGTTTGCCTCATTTACATGTTTCTCTGATAAAATGCACCAAGGTTGTTTTAAGCAGAATGATTTCCATGTCAGTAACGTTTAAAATTATCAACATTTTTTACTTGGACACCAAGCATCGATTAAAAGGAATTATTAAGAAATCTTGCAATATCCCCTAAACTAAAGTACACAAAGATATACACAATTATTTGTTCCCCTGTCAGTTTGAATTTACCAGCGTGCTTCCCAAGCGGATAACAAATCTAAATAATCACTAATTAATTCACTATTGTCAATATGGTAGTAAAATTCTATGGTAATAAATGACTGATTTTTACCCATGTGTAATAATTCACTTGTTTTCTGTTAACATTTGTCTACCGTAATTGTAACATGCTGTCTTCGTTAAGAATATCATTTTGTTTGTGTGCCGAAAATGCATATGTACATTGTAATAAACAAAAAAGTGTATATATTAAAAATTGTTTTATCTTTAGGAGCACTTGCGATGTCCACGTTCGTCGACGTACAATTGTCACAGACAATACATTTGTCTTTCCGTTTTATTTCGTTTTGTTCTCGGGGACCATCAGATACATCTTCATCGTTTGAGTCCATTACATGATTCGCATTATCATATTTAATTTGTTCAACCACCTCTAGTAAATCTTTGTAAGGGTAATTGCTAAAATGATGTTCATCCTCTTTTTTAAACTCGATGCATCTATAATGGCACTCTTGAAGTGTATTTCGTAAACTTCTATTCTCAGTTTCTCTCAGCAATTTTTGAAAATCTTTAATTGAGTTTTTTTTGCCGACAATTACCAAAATCAAATGGCGTTTAAGAAATTTTCGTCCAAATTTTTTTTCCATCGAATTTATGTTCTCTAAATCTTGCGCACTAAAGCCAGATTTAAGCGAAAAACAGTATAATAGAGCATGCAAATTGTCCATTTTTTTTCTCACGTCAAAAATAACATTTCCAAATAATTTGAGGTTTGGTGACTGCTGAAAGTCTTGTCTTTTAATGTGGTTCCTAACACAGTATACATGAAGATGTTGAATACTGTTGCTACCGTTTCGAAATTTTGTAGTTTCCCTAATATTGTCCAATTCCAAAGATTTGAATAATCTTGCTTTTCCACTTCCTCTTTCCCCAACAATCATAAGCCATTTATGCCACGTAGTTAAATATTTGTTATCACTAATCTTTTGCTCAGAATATATATTTGAAGCTTTATTAGGCTCGGACGTTTTTTCGGGAGATGAAGGTCCTAGTTTTAAATTATCCTTTAGGCGAAGAAAATTTAAATGATTTTTTATAAAATCAAATATCCAACAATTTGCAAAATCATCTTTAAAGCAGTAATGACATATACCAGTGACTATGAAAGAAAGTAAAAAAAAAATTCGATCACCAAAGTAATTCCTCACTTTCACAAATGCCAGTGCGCAGATTATAAGAATTATTAGAATAGTTTTCCAATAAGCTAAAAGCCACACCATGATGCTTTGACAGAAAACTGCAAAATAAACAGTAAAACATGAGTTTAATTGTTTTTCTTTCTTACAAATCTCACTCCAGCTTATTGTATTAACAAACATTTGATAAGAAATGTTTTAAAAGTCCCTTCCAAAATATATCCAGAACTAATTTTTAATCAAATGTTCCTAGAAATAAATTTAAGTAGATAGACCAAAAACACGCTTTTAATCATTAACAAATTATTTTTGATGTAAAATTAAGTGTACTATTGATAGGGAAAATTTTATTCTAAAATATTAGATTTGAAAAATGGAATCGGTGTTTTTCACAAAAAATTTTTTTTTATAAATAATTCTTGTTCATTTGGGCTATTTCCTCATTGGTTAATTATTTTTCCAAGACATTCAATAAAAATCTATTCTTATTATAATATTTAAGTCACAAATAATTGAATATTATTTCATCTATGTAACTCATACATGAATTAAGAAAACTCTTAACATTTATGAACTGAAAGTAAAAAAACAACAACTTGGAACCGACTAGGCTCTCGAAAAATGGTACACCATAGAAAAATATTTATGTTTCTGAGTTTAACACGATTGTATACAGCTTACTGTTCAAAGCTTCCACTGGGTCAAACCACATCTTCATACTGTGAGTTACGGTGATATTAGACACTGTCGGAGAAAGGTAAAAGAATAAAAATTAAAACTATGCCTTGTTTTCAAATAAAAACACATACAGAAATCTATAAATGAGTGCGCATAAAAAATGTACTAAAATTGTCAACAAATTTTGCTTCATTAGTACTTAAAATGAGCTAATTATATGTCGGGTATGATTTGGAAAAAAAAATTAGTGGACAATTTTAAAGAATTATATAGAAAACAAATATCTTTCTTATTGGGTTAAATGGAAATGGAAGGATGAATGTTGAAAAAGAAGACCCAATTAAATTAGAGGTACCACTTTAAGACAATGCATTAGCAAAATAACTTTTTACTAATAAAGGAAGTTCAACGTGCATTCCAAGCCCACAGACTGTGCAGTTTTAGCCAAAGCGCGATATGTTGAAACAGTGCTATGGTAATGCCAAGTGTGTTTGGCGAATCACTATTTTAATCACTATGTAAGGTACGAGTCATTGGTTGCTAAGGAAGTAAGCTCCATTTTCACATTATTTGGGACTTATTATTGGTTGAGATGTCATTATAATTATAAATGACACAACTAAACCTTTAGACTCGTTGTATCAACGAAATATTGCCGAGTCACCTCAGAGAAAGCAATTTGTTTAGAGTTCTTGAGAAACTGTGCAGCCTTTTCATATCTAACATATCTACACTACAAAAAACAACAAAAAACAACAAAGCAACGATTGAACTACTGCTAGAGAAAAATTTTCCGCAATGGGTACCATCGTAAAATCTAATGAAGCTTGAAAGCTTACCCATGCAGGAAAATGTTTTGCAAGTAATTAAATGAAGCAGCGTTTGTTCTTTTTAAAACAGCCAGAGATCACAGGTGATAATAATCAATTTGTATTGCTAAGAATTGTAAAGAAGCTACACCGTAGAACCTCCTACTCTTATATGAAACTTTTTAGAAACTTCAAACACATCTTTAGATCTAATTTGATAAAAATTTGAGGAAATCCGTAAAGAATAATGGAAAAATAAGAAACATAAAAGGATATTTATAAAATTTTTAAACCCTTTTAAAAGTAGAAACTTCAAGAAACGTTCATAACATATTATACTATGCCTAGAATATTATCAGAAAAGTATAGAAATCTATAAAACTGAACGAAATTTTTCGTAGGTAGTTAAGGTTTTGGCTCATCAATGCATTTAAATAAGGCTAAAAGTGAGGACCATAATAAATGCGTTTGTAAAAAAAGTCTTCACAAACCATATAAAATTCAACTTTATACTTTAATTAACATGATCAATACTTTAATATGTAATCTGTATGTTAATTGAACTAAATAACAAACTAATAGTTTATAGTTTATTAAAGCACATACTGACTGATTACTGTTCACTGTTATGGTGTCAGAGACTAAAAGAAAGCTGGCGTACTTCCGTTTTCACAAATAATAACGGGATTTCACTTTTTTCCTGGTCACGAAACAATTCATAAGACATTTAAATAACAAAAACCATGTTTTATTCTATAAAAGAAAATAAATTTATTTCACTTTGAACATATGCTACTAGAGGTGTCTAGATATTTATTTTAAATAATATTTGTATAAATTTAATAATTATATAATCGTTTGTTACTTTAACATGTTAAGACGTATTTTAGCAGAAATGCAGTTACTTTAAAATATTTTTGGGAAATAAAATGTTATTGTTATATTCGATAGCTTCATGTTACAGATAAAATAAATATTAGAAAATGCCCTACTGACTTTTAACTTTCTGCGTGTGTAAAGTGTAAAACATAAATACAAACATGCAGTGCAACATGCTATTTTTAAACCGGCACTACATAAATGGCGTTGGTATACTTAACACATTTAAGGATGTGGTACACGTAGCAAAACCCTGGACTTGAGCTTGCGTACAACACGGAAGGAAATGTAGCAGAATCATTGACAGAATGCTGATTTTAAGCCATCAGTAAAGTTAGCTTTCTGATATACTGTTAAATGTTATTTGAAAAGTTCAACGTCTTATACATTTGTTGTAGATTTGCTTTTCTTTGACAAGACATTGCTGACTTTGGAAGGTTACACGGTCTCTCAGGGGAGCCTAATTGAAGCAGATCGACCCATCTTACCCTTACTTTTTTGTAGTGTAACTTATTCTGTATTTGGAAAATGTTAATACACTAGCTATGCTAAAGAAATTTAATTTTTAATCTGTATGAAAATATCTATATTTATTTTGATTTTTTTTTCTTCAGTTTTATCCACTTACAAATGCCATAAACATCTAATGCTTGCAAACAGAAAGGCTGACATCAATGATAATCCATGATAGTTTATTTAAAAAGTGCCAATACTGTAAACAAAAATTCAAACACAATATTAAAATTTCTTACATTATTAAAATATAAAATGATCCCTGGCTGATTAATGACAGAAGTCAACACATATTTTGAAGTGTAAATGAAAAAGAAACTAATGACAAATCAGGCAAGTTTAAAATATCTTACTGGACATTAATATAGTGTAAATTTTCTGTTTGAAACTCATATTTTAAAAAAAAATTGATGTGAATAAATATCAACGCTAATCCCGATTGATCACTTCACAGATCTCTCCTACTTCTCCAGGCTCCTTCTAATCTGCAAAACTTTATAACACAACATTGTTAACGTCGACCAATTGCACATGAACATTATTACTGAAAAAAAGCAATTGTTGGTTTGCTTTTTATCACTTGTTCATGTTTTCCCTCATCTTGTGCTACTTGATCCCTGTTATCAAACCTGGTCGCATTCGTCTCACATCCATTCTTTATTACATTATCATTTCCAAGATTGCATCTACGATATGCATGGCTTATGTCCTTAGCCAAGCTGCGTCTACCGAATTCGTGCAACAAACTTTAGGTACTTGAGTTTACCGCCGCAGTAAAAAAAAAAAAATTGTTAAAAGTGGGTATCCTAATTAACAGAGCCACAACCTGTACAATCAGAAAAGCACAAAAAAATATTTCTTAATGAAAGAAATAAAAAATGGGGACAATAGTTCGAAAAAGTTTAAACTTTTTTTATGGTGTTGTTGTACAGGAATTTAAGAGAAACAAAACATGCTGGTTAAATGTTGTAAATCAAAATGATCGAACGTACACACAATGTTCAATAAAACATGAAGACCAAGCGATTGGGATGGATAGTACGGCAAACGGACAGATTGATCCATGGATTTTCTTGCACCTCGAAACATTTTGTTAATTCGAAAATAATAAGTATGGATATGCGTTATAATATATAATGTTATAAGGGCTATGCGGGTGGTCAACACATTCACCTAAGTTTTTTTTCTTATTAATGAGCCGTTGGAAAACGAAAGTTGAAACACATCATAACGGGAATTTCCATGATTGTATATGTTTTTTATACATACCATGTACACTAGACTTGTTAAATCATTGAATAAGAAATTGGAGACCTGTCTTTAAAGAGGTGAAGATATTTTTATCTACGCCCGCATATGTTAAGTGTCAAGATATTCTTCAAAAGTACAATATGTCCGCTAGCACTTGGCCAATATGGATGCATTACAAAAACTCAAGAGGCCATGTTTATTTTACTTCTTTAATTGTTTTGTTTTTAAAGTAATTAATATAACTAATTGTATATTCTTTTGCATTTGAGTATAGAAAGTAATTTTGCCTATTTACTCCTAACATAAATATAAAAGTGTATAACGACACTCTTATCGGCAATCACATTACTGAAACAAATATTGTTTGTTTTGAAAAGATTAAATAAAATTATGGATCAACATCGAATAAATTTTATGAAGACACACAAAACGATGTACGGAGACATGTAATTGACTCTCATAATTGACTGTCAAACATTACTAGTGTAGCTTTGAATAGAAATTAAGAAACGCATCAGACAATTATTTAAAATCTACATTTGTTAAATTAAACAACCGATTTGATGATTTCCTTTAAAAAATGCAAATACACGGTTGGGAAAAATGTATGTATCAAGTATTTTAAAAAAAAAAAAGCATATTAAAATAATATTTTAAGTTACGTTGTCTAAACAGTGGTTTGCAAAATCATTAGAAAATTAATCGTACCTTAAAATTCCCAATATAGATATAATAGAACTGTTTTTTTGTGAATTACATTATTTTTTTGCAATTATTTCCATTGGTATAATTTTTTGTTGTTAGTATATTTAATATTTAAAATAATTTTTTAATGTAATAATGAAAACAAATTTTGTTCAAATCAATTACAAAATATTTGGAAGATCTATATTTCACTGTATCTAGCAATAAGCCATTTACATTTGTATTCTTGACTTAATATTATTTCTTGATTAATGTGAAAAATTATTTTTAAGACACAAGCCATAGTGATATCAAAGAATGTATGTTATTTTCTACATTTTCCCTTGCTCCGAGTTCTACGTAATTTTACTGCTTAAGTTAAAACGAATCAGCTAATAAGTAAAAGCAAGATTGCTAAATTTAAAGGAGCATTTCATTTTTTATCTTTCTCAAATAATTCAGTAATAATTTCTACAGATTAATAGTATCTATATATTCTTCTTGCAGTTAAAGAGTCATGTCAATCAATTATTTGCTCACAAAATGTATCGGAAATGAATATAGGCCTACAATCAAAATTTCGGATAGTTGTCAAACTGTATATCCTTTAGGGAGATCTTTATTTGTGTTAAAGGATAGTAAAAGCATTAGTCAGTTATTTGACAAATTGCAACTGGAATTTAATGAGCATTTTATTTAGTTTTCTACAAAATAGTGGCATGCCCAGCTGTATTGCCAAATCCTCTCTGATAAGTTAGTTGTCTCACATTAGGCATCCCAACTTACTTGGAAAACTGACATATTTTCTATCATTTTTTCCCCACACATCACAACTTTGAATCACTCATATTGTCCGAGATCCATTGCAGCTGACTGGGTTTCAAGGCCAACAAATAAAATCGTCAAAGCCCAGGTGGGGGAATGAAGGT